CTTCCTTATATCTGGTAGTCAACATTGTCATACATGGACTATACCATCGCCAGGAGGTCATCATTGTCATACATCGGATCTTCCATATATCTGGTAGTCAACATTGTCGTACATGGAATCTTCCATACATTTGGTAGTCAACATTGTCATACATGGGATCTTCCATATATCTTGTAGTCAACATTGTCATACATGGGATCTTCCATATATCTGGTAGTCAACATTGTCATACATGGAATCTTCCGTACATTTGGTAGTCAACATTGTCATACATGGGATCTTCCATATTTCTTGTAGTCAACATTGTCATACATGGGATCTTCCATATATCTGGTAGTCAACATTGTCATACATGGAATCTTCCGTACATTTGGTAGTCAACATTGTCATACATGGGATCTTCCATATATCTGGTAGTCATCATTGTCATACATGGACTATACCATCGCCAGGAGGTCATCATTGTCATACATCGGATCTTCCAAAAACTGGTAGTCAACATTGTCGTACATGGGCTATACCATCGCCTGGAGGTCAGCATTGTCATACATGGGATCTTCCATATATCTGGTAGTCAACATTGTCATACATGGAATCTTCCGTACATCTGGTAGTCAACATTGTCATACATGGAATCTTCCATACATCTGGTAGTCAACATTGTCATACATGGGATCTTCCAAATATCTGTTAGTCAACATTGTCATACATGGGATCTTCCATACACCCTGTAGTCAACGTTGTCATACATGGGATCTTCCATACACCCTGTTGTCAACATTGTCATACATGGGATCTTCCATACACCCTGTTGTCAACATTGTCATACATGGGATCTTCCATACACCCTGTAGTAAACATTGTCATACATGGGATCTTCCATACACCCTGTAGTCAACATACACCCTGTAGTCAACATTGCCATACATGGGATCTTCCATACACCCTGTAGTCAACATACACCCTGTAGTCAACATTGCCATACATGGGATCTTCCATACACCCTGTAGTCAACATTGTCATACATGGGATCTTCCATACACCCTGTAGTCAACATTGTCATACATGGGATCTTCCATACACCCTGTAGTCAACATACACCCTGTAGTCAACATTGTCATACATGGGATCTTCCATACACCCTGTAGTCAACATTGTCATACATGGGATCTTCCATACACCCTGTAGTCAACATACACCCTGTAGTCAACATTGCCATACATGGGATCTTCCATACACCCTGTAGTCAACATTGTCATACATGGGATCTTCCCTCTCTCAGCACAAAGTCCATGGGATCATCGTAAATATTCATCTTTGAAATGAATCTGGTAACTATGGTAACAATATGTATGGTAACTATGACATCAACTCCGATGACTAATTTCTTCTGAAAAACATCTGCAGTACTTACATGTTTGAGATCTAAAATAGACCTCCATGAGTTGATGCAAATGTGTTTTACTCTGAGTCACGAATTTTTTTAAAAAGAACATAAATCTCAAGCACGGATATAAAACAGAGTATATTTTAAAGGTCATTACACCAAAGCATCTGTATTAAGTAGAATACGTTACCGCTGTTGGAGACATTAATGCCATCTTTGGATATCAAGAAACGTGATGTACATTTCTTGTATGCAAAAAATGTATGTGAACACAATGGCTGTTGAGAGGAATAATACCGGCAAATACCACAGCACCGGGTTTTTGTTAGCAAATGATTGCCGGAAGACATTTGAAAGGACATGTGAAACTTGATGATGGTTGCGTACATTAGTACAACCAAGCAACACATATTGACACAAGGTGGTGGAGTAGTTGTCAAGAGGCGCGGGTTCGATTCCCGACATGGGTACGATAAACGGAGCACTTGCTGGTTTCCGGCACTGTGATACGATGTGTCCGCATAAGACCCCAATTACTCACTCACTCACTCAACACACAAGCCTGCAGAATACGTTGTGGTGGGAGTGCTTGCACACGGCCCAAGCAGGCTGAAGCATGTGTAATGATTCAACTGGGAACGAGGCTGATCGGACGTAGTCATGTCATGGCCTAAATCACCCCTTTAGCTAAGGGTTCCCTTAGTTCTACCTTCGAGTTGCCATTTTACCTCTGGTCACAACCCTAGTTGTTATAATCACCCTTTGTCTGAACCACATTTCTTATACCCAACTTGTGATACACCCACTTGTCATACACCCACTTGTGATACACCCACCTGTCATATACCCACTTGTCATACACCCACTTGTCATAACCCTTTTGCCATACCCCCAGTTGTCACACGTGCTGTTTCATATCTCCATTTTACATAACCCCATTTGTCATATTCTCATTTGTCATACCATCATTTGTCATACCAACAAATTGTCATTCATGAATTCTCGTTTTATGCGGAGAAAAGCATGAAACCTGATTGAATGTTTGATAAGTTTATCGTTTGATGCACGTTTCACCCACACATGTAATGTATGTTCTTTACACAACTGACCGCCTCCGTGGTCTAGTGGGAGAGCATCCGCCCGGAGACCGGAAGGTACGGGGTTCGATACCCGCCGCGTCATGGTACTTTTTGTTACCCTGTCTGACGCTCGGCATTAAGGGGTAAAACAAGGACTGGTCGGGTCGGGGTCAGTCTACTTTGTCTGAGTGGGGTATCATGTCATGTCATGTCATGTTAAACTGCGGCAGGGTATCTCAGTGGGCTAGCACTATAAATCGGCATCAATCCGGACTAGTACAAGCAGCCACACACACACACGTGCATGCACGTGGCTATATAAGTGCAATAATCTTGAACGCGACGTTAAACCCACTTTCACCTCACGCCATGCTTTACTCCGCACAAGACGAGATGGTAAATTGTCACCTGAAGTTTAGATATATATGAAGACACGCATCTTGCAAAGAAAAATATTAGGTTTCAGTCAGTAATATTGTGTCATTGTGTATTTCCCCTCACGTTCATACCATGTGCTTCAAAATGCTCCACATAAGTACGCTATATATGACACCTTTTTTATGGATAGCAACTTCTTTTATTCTTTGACACGACGTTTTAGGGGTACCTCTTGCTCCCTCATCAGACTGAGCCTTCACCTGATGAAGCAGCAAGATGCTGAAACATCGTAACAAAGAACAACAGATGCTGCTATCCATAAAAAATGTCATGTATTCACGTTCTTCCAACTTCTAAATGCCTTTCAACGACTTCATCAGCCATTATGCTCCGTATCCGTCTTATCATGATGTACAGCTTCCCATAGGGTGTGCAGGGGATGCCAGCAGGTCCGGTCAGATCTTACTGTCTATATAGTTGGGCGTTATGGGATTTAGGATCGCGTATGTGCGTGCGTGTGGGTCCCTGTGTGTGCGTGCGTGCGTGCGTGCGTGCGTGCGGGTCCCTGTGTGTGCGTGTGTGCGTGCGTATGTGTGCGTGTGGGTCCCTGTGTGTGCGTGTGTGCATGCGTGCGTGCGTGCGTGTGGGTCCCCGTGTGTGCGTGTGCGTGCGTACGTGTGCGTGTGACCTGTTTGTACTTGTCGGGACTAATTCTGGTTTTATGGCGCTAGCCAACTAAAAATACAATGCCGTTGTTGAACATGGATCCCACTCAGACACAGTATACTGACGCCGACCAGTTCGGGTGTAATCTTCTCAATGCCGAGCGCCAGACAGGGTAAGAAGTGCCATCTTTCCACGTCTTTTGGTATCACGCTGTTAGGGGATCGAACCACCGACCTCCCACTCTCCGGGCAGACGCTCTACCCCCAGACTACAGGGCAGTCCTGTCTGTATATAGACCCGTGAAGATCCGGGGTAGAACAGGTCTTCAGCAACCCATGCTTGCCGTAAAGGGCGACTATGCTTGTCGTAAAAGGCGACTAACGGGATCGGGTGGTCAGGCTCGCTGACTTGGTTGATGCATGTCATCGATCCCAATTGCGTGGATCGATGCTCATGATGTCAATCAGTGGATTGTCTGGGCCAGACTCGATTATTTACAGACCGCCGTCATATAGCTGGAATATTGCTGAGTGCGGCGTAAAACAACCAACCAACCAACCAACCTGTCTGTATAGACTCCCTGTGACGACACACCACATTCGTGACGACGTGTGCCCACCAGCTCTGGAATTTGTCTCTTTTTTATCATTTTATTTCTTTTGGGAGTACACAAACAATAAGTTTACAGGATATAGTTCACATACAATCTTAAATAAAACGAGAAAACCCTTTCCATATCCAATAGAAATCACCGTCACAAACACATACAAAGGCAAGTCAATTGTTCACCTGTAAAAAAACACACGGGAACACATGGTACAAGTCAAAATAGGGAATTGCATCGGACATCATTTTTGTCACACGTACTGAAGTTACAAAGTATATCTCTGAACAATACAAACAATGTTTAGATTATTGTAAATGTTACGTTATTGAAGTGACAACGTACACTGCAAACACGAAAACTCCGGTTTCGTACGATAACACAGACAACACGGTAAAGTAAACTGCACTGCAGAGCAGACAACTTGTGGCAGACGACACGGCAACGATGCACGTGTTTCATCTGTTGCTCCATGAGCTGCGTACGTGCCGACATTGTCTAGCGTGGTCCAACGAAAGAACTAGATCATTGGTAGAGGAAAAAGAGGAAAAACTCCCGCCCGTAATCCTGGGGCCCTTCCTTCGAAGAAAACATAACCCTTGGCTAGAAATATTAAATATTCATCTATGTTAGGTTAGGGTTAGATAGGCTTAGGTTCACTGACGCAGGGGAAATTTAAAGCAGGGGTTACGGCGGAAATCTTTCTGTAATTACTCCATGGTTTAAAATAAAAAACACCGACATAACACATGTTACCAACTGCAGAAGTACCTTACTATTCATGGCAATGTACATCCGACCCGTTATCCCATCGTTCTTATATAGGATCAATACGAACTAGAGTTATCTTCCTTGATGCGTAATCAAGTTTCTACCTGTCCGTCAGGTGACTCTGACCTAAGATACACTCGCTGTCATTCGATGTCGGGCCCATGGGACACCTCGCGTTGGTAACGGGGACGCCTCAATAAACACTCGCTAGCGACGAGCAAACCCAAGAGGGATTTCATCTCAGCACCTGTATAACTCCATGCACTATTGTCTATAGCCAGGTAAGGGTGAAATCACGAATCTATTTCAGCTTGTTTACTCCTAACCTTAAGACACTGATTGTTGTATGTCTGAACAACAGTAAACATAATCAGTGCAATAAACATGTACACTGACAGGCGCTTGATCGTCTCTGGGATTTGCATTTGCGATCGACATCGACACATGTCCATGTCAGTGGATGTGTCCATCCATGCCTGTTTGGCATTGATTACCGAGTGTATTAATCGACCAGAGAAGCTTATCAGTGGTCACTGCATTAATAATGCATGGTGGGTAATTACATGTATAGCAGTCGTGATAGACAATCAGGGAGAGATTGATGACCGTTTATAATCAAAACTGACAGGTATTCGTGCCTCGATGTTATAAAATCACATTTCATCGTATTTATATATCGAAATAATAATAAGTGAAAATAACATGTCCACGAGTTTGTGTTTTGTGGAAGCTGTCATGGATGGAGTGAGGGACCCCAGCATGGCAATGTAATCGTGTTGTACAATCCACACGCCGCTGTGCTATTCTTGGTGTTTTATTTGTTTTATTTGCAGCTTCTACGCGATAAGCCACTGTTTTATGACTTGTCAATATGTTGTGCAGTAGCCTGTCATTTAAATCCACACATACCTGTGAACTGAAAATTATTTTTACGATTAATTAAACATACATTTCCAAAAATGGAAACAAGGTCTTAATCTGAAAAAAATAGATAGCATAGCTAGTCGGGCTACTTCATGGTACGACGCTATTGACCATTTTCACACGTTCGCCATCTTGGATCGAAAACGAGTCTTGTAGAGCATAGATCAACAGAGAGCATGCTGTGATGGGTACTCTATGTTCCGGCATTTCACTGAAGGACATTACAAACAAGAAATGGTATCCTCTGTGTCTTATACAGAACACATTGCACATTTAACCATGAGGCCCGGCTAAAATTGCTTATAATACACCGGAAATCGCATTTTGCTGCAAGGAACCCGGATGTGAATCGAAAGGTGCATTTCGACATACGTTATTTCCGAAATAGGTTGTTTTATCATAACCTCGTGGGCATATGAATACGATGTGATAGTATGTTCAATGACAGAACCTATGTAGCGTAAGTCAAGTGCATGACATGAAACACGTCCGTGTATTTTGCTAATTTACTCAGTCAACGCGCGGCGTGGGGAACTCGAGATCGTCATGTTTATTTCACGAGTTATAGTGGTGTTTGCTGCACCACTCCCTGTCGTTTTGTCATGAGACCAGTTGACATGAGGCATTTTTCTTCGATGATTTTCATCCAAACATATTACGATGTAAGTGAAAATAGTGCAAAATAACTCATGTAACGAAATATTAAGAAGGGGCGATAACTCTATTCAGTTTGTACAATGAGAGAGCGTTTTCTGTGTCTGAGTGGGATATGCGTGTTAAACTGCGGCATGATATATCATTGGGCTAGCACTACAAAGCGGCATTATCCCGGACTAGTACGAGCAACCACACGCACGCACGTACACACGTACGCGCGCACACACACACACACACACACACACGCACGCACGCACGCTCGCACAGGCACACACACGCACGCACACACGTGCATGCAACAATCTTGAACGACGTTAAAACCCATTTCACCTCACCTCAGTAAACAAAATTTCACAAATATTGTGGAATATGAACATTAACTTTAGCAACCCCAGGGGTAAGCTTAAGAGTAAGTGAAACAGATTTCCAAATGTACAACTAAGTGTGTCTCGTCTGAATAATCAAGTTCATGCAGTTCAATACAATATCAAAACTATTTGTTTAATAAAGTTTAAAAAAATAGATAATATTATGCAAATATATATTTACAGTCTATTTACAACCTGTCTTGAAAGATGGATATATGTAACCATTACACTGGTAATGAATTATTTAGACTATACCATATCATACATGTAGGTTATCACGTTTCATCATGAGAAAATCTGAGTTTCGAAGGCAGTATTGACATTATGTCACTGTAATATGATTTCAACTATCAAATATTTGCCATATCTCACAAGAAGTTCAGCATTCGTAGAATATCTTCATCATGTTCATGTTGTTTACTCTTTTCAGATATTACCAGAATCTGATAACATTATCTGCCAGCAAACATTAAATGGTGTTTATATTACCTGGATCTATGAACATACCAACCTCAAATTTTACCTCAAAGATGGAATAAAATATAATCTTGGGAATTACTAATGTTCCCACTGTCTGTTCAGTCAGTAAGAAAATGTCAAAGTGGGTCGGGGAAATAACTCTCTGACATTTCATCTCCAAACATTGTTATTTTTCTATATTTCTAAATCCTGACAAGACATTTAAGGAATTCGTTATTATTCTAATTCGGAGAACTTGTAAATCAAATAATTAAAATCGATTCTCTAGAACAGGCAAATAAAACTGTTGGTGAGTTCAATAAAAAATTTGTGATGAACCATATGGTTGGATATTACAGTGTGCCTGCTCTGCAGCTGTCTACAATCATCCGAATTCCTCATAGTTTACAAAGCATTACACAAAAAATAATAATTCATGTCTATATTTCTCACACTATAAGCTATTTTATCAATCGCTTCAGTTATTCAGACTTTTCTTGCTTGTTAACAAAATTGTTTAATAGTAAAATGTGTTAAGTTTGATAAATATTGGCCACGTGGAAGGTGAATGAATGAATATGGCTTTTCATTGTAATTATTCTATGATATAAATGCGACTTAAAGCTGAGTAATTCTGTAGGACTGGTACGAGCAGGATGGGCACTACCCGCGTGTTGAATGTAGAATGAATAAGGTCGAAAGAATAACGTTTTTTTAAATATAAAACCAAACTGAATCGGTATATAATTTACGAACGGGGAGCATTAAAATATAAAAACATATTCTTCTGTGAAAAAAGACGAATCCCAAGAATATGATTTACTTTGAACATTCAGTCACTTAATTAACACGCTACAAGATTATACATACTTTCTGTGGTATTTGTATTGTTTGCAATTGCTTATTTATTATGACATGAGAGAAATAAAGCATAATGAAACAGTAATGGGCGGCTTTACATCAGGTTGATATATCACCGTACATATTAATAATATAATAGTTACTGTGACATTTAGCACGTTCAAATCATAAGACCAGTTTCCTGTGGTGGCCCTTGAACAAGAACCAACTAAATCACTCAAGTGAAACAAACAGGAAATGTTTTCAAGGTAAAATAATATTATTAGGTATTTATTTGTAACCAACATAATTTATGTTGGATTCGAATAATTGTCAATCGCCTTTTTAATCAACAACACATCTGCCAGAACAATAAATCACTCGTTAATTTCTGATCGATAACACACCTAAAACCAATATCGTTTGTTAATTCCAAACTGATAATATCTATATTGATTGTATTCATTGGACACCTTCACGCTAGGGTAGACCCAGTACATCGGAACAAACAACCGTTCAGCAGAACGTACAACCGGAGTCAACACGTCGAACGATCGTGTTGCACTTACACAATGAACGCTCTAAATTTACTCTCCTACAAAGCGTGTGTTTACATGCAGTTATGTACTGGTCAAAGGGTAGCGTATTGAAAGGGGGAGGTCACATTCACTGCTTGGGGTTGTGTGTGAGATTTGACACCGTCTCTGGTGTGTCGTCTGCTTTATTGTGTCGTTTGCTTTACTGTGTCGTCTGCTTTACTGTGTCGTCTGCTTTACTGTGTCGTCTGCTTTACTGTGTCGTCTGCAACAGCTTGTCAACAATACCGTTTGTTCTCCCGTGTCGTCTCGTTTGCCCTGTCGTCTGCAACAGTTTGTCGTCTGCTCTCCCCTTTCTTCTACTTTGTGGTGTCGTTTTCGTTACACTGTTGTCAGTTTTGCCGTGTCGTCTGTTGGTTAGATGTCTACTATGACGTGCCCTGTGGGGATTCCGGGTAAGATTTGGCCACTAGTATCCAGTGCTTGCAGTAAAAACAGACGAGAGATAATCAGGTGGCCAGGTTCACGTGCTTTCATTCATTGGTCTTATAATTTGTAGGCCGCGTTATATACTGCAGTACTGCTGAGTGTAACAGCATTCTCAAACTCAAAACCATGACGTCCGTTGTGCCGCGTCTTGTCGTCTGCTTTGCAGTGTCTTTTGTCTCCTGTACACGAAACGTACGTAAGTATCTCCACGTGGTGTTGAGCTGCCTTACAACTCTTAAAAATCATCGGCATGCCAATCCACCTATTGTATCACTCGACACAGATAAAGATATTGAGTAATTCCACCCGCACGGCACTTCAGGACAAGCTTATACACCGTCTCTTACTGGGGAACAGCGTTACGCCAGCCGTGAACAAACATTGATTAAGAGAAGATTCTCACTGTCTTTACCCCCTGTGTTCCTTGGGTCGTAGGTTAAAGTACACTGTGCAGATATTCACACGTCTTTTGCATATTCAGAAAAGCCTTGATGTCTCACTCATAAATGTCCAGTCTTTAGCCATCCAGCCATTTGTTTATCATCATATTGAAATGGCGAACGGTTTCTTCTTTTAAAGCAACTAAATAGACATCATTGAATTGCTTTTACAATTTAGATAAATTTTCGAGGATGTCTTGGTAATTATTGGTCTTAAATGAAGTTCTTGTGAGAAAACAGATACCTAGCAGTAAAGGCAGTGACCTTGAAGGAGAAGCTGTCACCTTGCAGTAGAAGCAGTTACCTAAAACTATACTACCGGACAAAAGTGGTAGTCCCTTGACTAGTCCCTCAGTTTCCGGACCCCGATAATGAAATTCCGAAAATCACGTAATTACTGTTACCAACATCTACATAAATACATGGTCATTCTATGAATCCAACATTCATTAACCCGGGAATGTGTAAATCCAGACACATTCACGCGAACGCAACCGTCCGGATGAACGGGGTTTCACTGTACCGGAAATACTCGAGCATCATGGGATGATTCCACGCACGCACTGTCATTATTGTCGCTGTAGACTTTCTGATACGTTAGTCCTGGGACCTATAAATGAATTGCCCGTACACACACGTTGCGCCACTTTTTGGATTGTCATCTGATCACGTCATTTGTATTTCACACGGAACGTGACAATGGAGAAAACGTTATCTTTAACACGCTGTGCTTGATATTGCATGCTTCAAAAATGTCTATACCGATGGCCTATGCTTTAAGAATATCTATACAGATAGCTCATGCTTCAAGAGTGTCTATACCGATATTAATGCTTCAAGAATGTCTATACCGATGGTCCATGCTTCAAGAGCGTCTATACCGATGGTCCATACTTCAAGAGTGTCTATACCGATAGGCCATGCTTTAAGAATGTCTATAACGATAGGCCCTGCTCCAAGGATGTCTTTACCGATAGTCCATGCTTCAAGAATGTCCATACCGATAGCCCCTACTTCAAGAATGTCTATACCGATAGCCCATGCTTCAAGAGTGTCTATACCGATATTCCTGCTCCAAGAATGTCTATACTGATGTTCCCATGGGCACAAGAAAGAATTATGTATACAGTAAGCATCGCGTTGTGTGTCGCCACATTCAACCCGTCCATTGTTTGTGAAGGAGCATATACCTCTTAACAGTGTCGGGAGTTTTGTAAAGCAAATCCCAGGGTTCGTACAATGGACTCACATGCTGTGACAAACAATGTTTATTCTGTCCGTGAATGGCGGTAGCCATGGGGTGTGTGTGTATTTGAGATATCTGTATTGTCATTCTACTTGTTTGTCTGATATATTACACACGCTGAATGCAGTTGGCTTGTTGCCAATCATTCGTGCAGGAATGTTATCAATAAAAAACAACTATTGCACGATCACTAAGAGAGAAGGGCAGTTGTTTTCGCTGTGGTCAGGTGTGGTGGGTGTAGGGCTGTGGCGGGTACTCGTGTACCGGACGCGAGTACCCTGCAAGGGGAGAGAACACACATTTCACTTTTGCCCGTGAAGATCCAGGGTAGAATTGGTCTTCAGCAATCCATTCTCGTCGTAAAAGGCGACTGTGCTTGTCGTAAGAGGCGACTAACAGTTGTTAAACGACAAACAAACAAACAAACAAACAATGACCAAAATGTGTCATAGTGTAGACAGATTTCAGGCAGACGTTCTGATGTAGGTTTTAGACATGTACAGGAGATTGAAGAATAAATTTCGATCATTGGGCCTGATGAGCGTAGAATGTGCAACAGAATAATAAACTTATGAGGCTCCACCTGTGTTGATGACAACTGTTGTTGTGCTGTTCACGGTTCACGGTTCACGGTTCACGGTTCACGGTTCGCGGTTCACGGTTCACGTTCTCGAGTCCAGATTTGTCTTCCCATAAGAGCCCTTGTAATGGTAGATAATCTGGTGGGGAAATATCTGAAGCGCCAACGCCAGAGAGTAACCAGTCTCGATTATCCGCTAAAACAGATTCAGTTGGGCATTAAAGGCAAAATAGCTGTGAAAATGACATGAATGGATCACTTAAATCAGTTATGACACCAGGTGTTTGCGAAAAGGGTAAGCGTGCCCTTACCGGCCACTCCCACAATTTGTATAAAAAATGTTGTTTGTTTGTTTGTTTGTTTGTTTGTTTGTTTGATTGTTGACGCCTTACGGCAGTACTCCTGCCATACGACAGCGACTTGTAAACAAACCAGACAATCGTGGGATTCACCAGAAAACACAGCGCATTTACTGATTTTGTTGAAACTAAAACCGATATGTTAATTTATAATTACAATATCCCGTCACTTTTACATATTGATAAGAGTGACGTAGAAATAAACACTTACTACATCGTGCACTAAATAACCGGGAAACGTCGGGCTGAGACGACAGACCATTGGTTGACCAAGGTCATCTGGTCCTCAAAAAAGAGGTAGAGGGGCTGCTGTCAAAATGGCTCTGTCTTTGTCTGCTTACATTTACACATTCATATTTTTGTATACATAACAATTTCATAACAGTTTTAGAATTGACATAAAAAACACACCGTTATCTTTTATGGACACTGTGAGATGCTTCACAATAATACCTGATATTGCCTCCAGACAACGCGTGTGTTGGCAGGAAACTAGCCTTGATATTTCCTTTCAGGAATTGAAGATATTTATTGTCTTCTAAATGGTATATGTTTTGTCTTTTATATGGTATTATGAGTAATCCATGACGACGCGTGGGTATTAACGAGGTTTCTAATTACTCTGTGAAAGTCAGATTACAGATTTTGTGTAATTGGCAGATTCGGCAACTTACGATCGGAGAAATAAAAGCGTTTGATCTCGGAATAATTGATAGCTTGGCGAATAATTTTAGAATAAGATAATCTTACCGAATAGTTTATTCCTACTGCCCACTGTTATGAATGAAAATAATCTGTGGTGATTCCGGGTTAGTTCCAGAATACCCCATGCTGTTCAGCAGCCGATGAACATTGTGATCAGGTGGTTTGACTTGGTAGATTGCATGTCATCGGATCCCGCCGCTCATGATGTCAATCACTGGGTGACTCAGACCTCTAGGATGCATTAACGTACAGCAATGTTTGTTTACGACATGAGTATTGTTTGATAACAACATCGGGTGTTGCACATATCCGCAAGAGGTAGGCTTGTGTGGTTTAAATAATTTTTTATTCAGTGAGTGAGTGAGTGAGTATGATTTTACGCCGCTTTTAGCAATATTCTAGCAATTTCGCGGCGGGGGTCACCACAAATGGGCTTCACACATTGTACCCATGTCGGGAATCGAACCCGGGTCTTCGGCGTTTTTATTCAGGAAACAATAGTTAAAATTAGTTACCTGAACAAACAACTACAATTTATATCTTACTTTAAAATAACACGTGTTATCACTTGATTGGTTTGTTTACTGATCGCCGTCGCATGGCAGCAATAAATATTTTTTTGTTATACAAGTTGTGTGGATGGGTGGTCAGGCTCGCTGACTTGGTTGATGCATGTCATCGATCCCAATTGCGTAAATCGATGCTCATGATGTCAATCTCTGGATTGTCTGGTCCAGACTAGTTTTTTTACAGACCGCCGTCATATAGCTGGAATACTGTGCGGTAAAAATCAATAACAAACACTACAAGACATACTAATCACATCATTACCGTTTGTATATGGATTATTTTACATGAAATACTTACATGAATACTTTCGACAGACGACATATGTAACAGTAGGACATGGAGTCTGTTTTTCAATGTTTTGATGTTTCACTTACTTTTATCGTAACCTTTCGCAAATTAACACAATTTGTCGTACAAATATGTGATAAATCATGTCTAAAAACACCCGAAAACATGGAAAATGTACTTTCAAGTAGTTATTGAGACGCTGAAATGTGAAGCGAAAATGTCAAAAACTAAAATGGAAATATCAAAAACAAAAACGAAAAGGTCAAAAACTAAAATGGAAATGTCAAAAACAAAAACTAAAATGAAACAATAGAAAACTATTTCCACCGCGGTGATAATATTTCCACCGCGGTGGAAATAGTTTTCTGTATTTTCATTTTAGTTTTTGACATTTTCGCTTTTGTTTTTGACATTTTCATTTTAGTTTTTGACATTTTCGTTTCACTTTTCAGCGATTCAATATCTTCTTTACACATGATTTATCACATATTTGTAAGACAAATCGTGATTATGGAAAAACAGATTCTATGTCCCTTATGGGCCACCGTAGAAAAGGGATCCGCAAAAGATTACGGTACCAGGTACCAGGTAATGGATGAACACGACATAAGTGTGAGTTATATATGTATGTTACGTAAAGAGCACACAGTGTTCAATTATAATATGCTCTCTATTCTGGTTGCTCCTTACTGCTTCATCAGGTAAATGAATGCATATACTCCGAAACGTTGTGTTCCTCATTATAAAGAAGTTGACATCCATATATTCTCTTCCTTACATTTGTGTTGTTGTTGTTGTTGTTGTTGTGTATCAAGGATGTGTTGTTGGTGTTGTTGTATATCAAGGATGTGTTGTTGGTGTTGCAGGATGTCAGTGAAAGGAGACGAGTGTACCCAGAACACAACCCAGACCCCCCGGGGCGGGGATACACAGGTAACGCGCACTTTCCTTAACGCTGACATTAGCTCAACTGGCTGTGATATGACTAGGCTCTTGACAGCGAGCTCTCGTGCAGAAACTCACCTAAAATAGTCTCTTTAAGTGAGGTCAGAAAATCCTTGATAGTCGCTACATTGATCCTGGGTCTGTTTCTTGGTGAAGTTGTATCATGTGTGGGGTTTAACTCAGTCAATACTAATTAGGTCAGTTCTAGCGAGGTCAAATGTAACATTAACCTGGATCCCGTTTCTTAGCTATAGAAGTATTATTGAACATGAACGAAATCAGTATTAACGGTTATTTCACTACATCAGTATTCACGGGTGGTGAATTACCTGTGAACGGCATTGAATGGTAACCAATCTAAGCGTTGCCATTTCAGGAATACACATGGGAGGGGGTCGGGGGTAGTGGTGAGGGGGCTGGGGGTAGAGGGGAGGGGGTTGGGGGTAGTGGTGAGGGGGTTGAGGGGTAGAGGGGAGTGGGTTGGGGGGTAGTGGTGAGGGGGTTTGGGGGTAGTGGTGAGGGGGTGGGGATAGGGGGGAGGGGGTTGGGGGTAGTGGTGAGGGGGTGGGGATAGGGGGAGGGGGTTGGGGGTAGTGGTGAGGGGGTTGGGGAGTAGAGGGGAGTGGGTTGGGGGTAGTGGTGAGGGGGTTTTGGGGTAGTGGTGAGGGGGTGGAGATAGGGGGAGGGGGTTGGGGGTAGTGGTGAGGGGTGGGGATAGAGGGGAGGGGGTTGGGGGTAGTGGTGAGGGGGTTGGGGGTAGTGGTGAGGGGGTTGGGGGTAGTGGTGATGGGGTTGGGGGTAGTGGTGAGGGGGTTGGGGGGTAGAGGGGTGTTGGTTGGGGGGTAGTGGTGAGGGGGTTTTGGGGTAGTGGTGAGGGGGTGGGGATAGGTGGGAGGGGGTTGGGGGTAGTGGTGAGGGGGTGGGGATAGAGGGGAGGGGGTTGGGGTAGTGGTGAGGGGGTTGGGGTAGTGGTGAGGGGGTTGGGGGGTAGTGGTGATGGGGTTGGGGGTATTGGTGAGGGGGTTGGGGGGTAGAGGGGAGTGGGTTGGGGGGTAGTGGTGAGGGGGTTTTGGGGTAGTGGTGAGGGGGTGGGGATAGGGGGGAGGGGGTTGGGGGTAGTGGTGAGGGGGTGGGGATAGGTGGGAGGGGGTTGGGGGTAGTGGTGAGGGGGTGGGGATAGAGGGGAGGGGGTTGGGGTAGTGGTGAGGGGTTGGGGTAGTGGTGAGGGGGTTGGGGGGTAGTGGTGATGGGGTTGGGGGTATTGGTGAGGGGGTTGGGGGGTAGAGGGGAGTGGGTTGGGGGGTAGTGGTGAGGGGGTTTTGGGGTAGTGGTGAGGGGGTGGGGATAGGGGGGAGGGGGTTGGGGGTAGTGGTGAGGGGGTGGGGATAGAGGGGAGGGGGTTGGGGGTTGTGGTGAGGGGGTTGGGGGTAGTGGTGGGGGGGTTGGGGGGTAGTGGTGAGGGGTTGGGGGGTAGTGGTGAGGGGGTTGGGGGTAGTGGTGATGGGGTTGGGGTAGTGGTGATGGGGTTGGGGGTAGTGGTGATGGGGTTGGGGATAGAGGTGAGGGTTTTGGGGGTAGTGGTGATGGGGTCGGGGGTAGTGGTGATGGGGTTGGGGGTAGAGGGGAGGGTTTTGGGGGTAGTGGTGATGGGGTCGGGGGTAGTGGTGATGGGGTCGGGGGTAGTGGTGAGGGGGTTGGGGGTAGTGGTGATGGGGTTTGGGGGTAGTGTGTAGTCTTATGACCCGGGTATGTCTTGATACACGAAATACTACCCTCCTCACAACTATTGCTAAACAGAATATGTTTAAAAGGAAATGTTTTAACTCGTACCTTCTGTCGTTTATGTACAGCCCGAAATATATAAGCATGTCACTTAGAAAAAAACATCTGGCATGTCCCCATGTCATCTTTTATCAACAAATCTATAACAATCGGCCAAGCTGTTTTTTATTCCAGTCTGTAGTATTCTAGGACGACTATTAGTTACTCTGCATACATGATATTTGTCATATCACTTATAACGATACTGTCCGGATAACAGGGGTTTTCACTGGAGATAGTCTACACACACGGACTGAATTGGGTTTATTCCCTGGAGATTTTATGAGAAAAGTATCTGATGTTGCCATGGCATTTTCACAATGCAGTAGTTTTTGTGAAAAAGGTCAGATTCCTTACATGTACAGTACACAACGGTTGTAACGAACAACGGTTATAACAAACTCAAAGGGACCACTAATTTTAGTTCGTTATAACCGTAGTTCGTAATGAGCATATATGCAGCAAGTGGCCGGGGGGGGGGGGGGGGGGGGGGGGCAGTTCGTTATTTCCGTCTATTGGTTGTAAGCGTGTTCGTTATAAACGTAGTTTACTGTAATTGAGTAGTATAGACGTTCTTGCTTCACAGTTGCAGGAAGCTAACGGCAAGACTCTGCTGTTTTTCATGTATCGGAGTGAGTTTGACCGCCGGGTCAGGAACGCCATTATCAGATTCAGCGGCAGGATAAAGTCCTACGAAGGCAAGGTTCTCGGCATCTCGACCAAGGTATGCAAACAGTTGCAACACATCCTTCACGGAATCTAATTACAAATGTACATATTGTTTCTGTTACAAGTTTAACTGAATTATAAACATTTGTTGTTCTTTTTTTAAAACTGGAATCGATTTCAACCAAACCACCCCCAAAGCCGGATGTCCTGATTAGGATATTCTGTTTCGAGCCTGGGTACTGCTCCAAGCTCGGGGGTGACACTGGCGAGCGATAGCGGTCTTCTGTCTGTGAAATAAACAACCAAGACCTCACACACAAGCTATTGAGTGATAATAGTTTTACATCGTATGTAGGAATATTCCAGCAGCATCACGGCTAGGGACACCAAAATTGGGCTTCACACATTGTACCCATGTGGGGAATCGAACCTTCGGTAAACGCTTTAACCACATGGCTATCCCACCGCCCATCGCCCGCCTTCACACACGAACCACTGCCAGGGATGTTGCTGTTGTCTTATCCTTTGTTTTATTTAATCTTATAACGAATGCCAGTTAAAAAATGAAAAAGAAAACATCTTTGAAAACAAACGAGTGGTCAATAGCATGTTTAACGTGTCACGTTTATATACTGATGCCACAACATGCTAGTTTCCCATCCATGGCATGCATGGGTGTTACTGTGTGGGTATGTCGGGAGCGCTGGTCGTGGTGAGATGCCGAGCGCGTCTTGTGTAATTACTTCGTCACAACTCATTGGTTGTTTGCGCTATATTTTCCCCTTCGCAAAGTGGGGTCTCATGGCCAGCGGAGACGGAGGGGTAGCCTAGTGGTTAAAGCGTTCGCTCGTCACGCCGAATACCCGGGTTCGATTCCCCAAATGGGAACAATGTATGAATCCCATTTACGGTGTCCCCCGCCGTGATATCGCTGGACTATTGCTAAAAGCGGCGTAAAACCATACTCAGTCACTGATGGCCAGCTACTTTTCGGAATGGTATTAGCATCTGCATCTGGAACATGTCTGTGATACGAAAAAAACATTCAAGATTTGTTTGGGAAACAATTATTGGACCATCCGACGAACGAAAACGTGATTTGTTGTCCTGAAAGTTACTATGTTTTCGTCCCTCGCGTTTGCAGGTGAATGTGTCTGCCCCAGAAGGAAACCCCTGGCTGCGCCGCAGTGACTGGTGCGTGACCGCCATTGCCTTTCCCTCACAACACAAGGCCAGGTTCTGGTTCGTCAGTGAACCGGAAGTCAGGCAGCATGACTTCCCTCCGATCTCAGATGGCTTCCAGGTGTTCTCTGTCCCCATCAGATACATCCCCAAGACTGGTAAGGGAGGAGGTCGAGGGGGGCCGGGGGGGAGGGGGGGGCTGGGAGAGGGGGGGGGGGCTGGTGGTGAGGTTGTGGGACTGAGACAGATCCACGTTCAACGTCGCACTCAGCAATATTCCAGCTTTTTGACGGCGGTCTGTAAATAATCGAGTCTGGACCAGACAATCCTGTGATTGACATCATGAGCTTCGATGCACGCAATTTGGATACGATGACATGCATCAATCAAGAGAGCGAGCCTGACCACCCGATCCCGTTAGTTGCCTTTTGCGACAAGCGTGGTCGCCCTTAACTGAGACCCATTTTACCCCGATCTTCACTGCTTTTGGGGGTAATGGTGAGGGAGGAGGTAGAGGGGAGGAGGTTGTAGGGTAGTGGTGAGGGGGTTGTTGGATAGTGGTGAGAATATGGAATTGAATGGGTAAACTGTAATTCCATTGCAAACAATAGCCTTGTCAGATCGCCACTGTCTGTAGTCAATAACACGTTTACATGGCCACTGTCTGTAGTCAATAACAGGTTTACATGGCCACTGTCTGTAGTCAATAACAGGTTTACATGTCCGCTGTCTGTAGTCAATAACAGGTTTACATGGCCACTGTCTGTAGTCAATAACAGGTTTACATGGCCACTGTCTGTAGTCAATAACACGTTTACATGGCCACTGTCTGTAGTCAATAACACGTTTACATGACCGCTGTCTGTAGTCAAAAACACGTTTACATGACCGCTGCCTGTAGTCAATAACACGTTTACATGACCGCTGTTTGTAGTCAACAGTGTTACAGGTAAGGGGTAGACGAGATATACGTGTCGGCGATAGCATGTGTATATCTTCCCTCAATGGGATGTAGCATTCCCAACTAGGTGAGTTCAATCTAGAATAGAACCCCAGGTGGTCACCATCCAAGAGCTAGTCAGTCGGTCATCCTTGAGGTTCACTCAGGGTCTGCAGCTGAACAATATCTTTACACTTGAAAGAAGTTGGTTCCAAAAGGTATTACTAGTATATAATGTGTGTTTGTATCTCTACTATGTGTGTGACACGAACATCAACATAATGGCCCCTAAGGGAGGAATTGCATGAGACTTGTTTTAACAATTCGGGCTCAGGTTTTAAAGAAATTTTAGTTTACTGTTAATGTTTAATATCCTTAAATAAACAGGTTGTTGTTTGTAGCATCTATGTCAATCATGATGTCAATCACTGGATTGTCTGGTCCAGGTTATTTACGCCGTCATATAGCTGGAATATTAATGAGTGCGGCGTTAAACAATTAAAAAACAAACAAACAAACAAACCAAAGTGATGACCGTCTACGTCAACCGACACGCCGTGAAATAACAGAAACACTTTTCAACTCACTCACTCACTTACTCCTCAGGTCAAAATACGTTTTGCTGGACGGAGGTGGCGGGCATCAGGAACAAGGGGTCGTACCAGGCAGACTACGTGGACAAAGTGACCAACCTGTTTGACAGCAGGGACGTGGACCACGGTCTGGTCTACGTCAAGGACGGGAAGGAGTGCCAGCTGGACCGACTGAAGGACTGCTGGATCCAACAGAACGCCACCTACCGGCTTGACCTGTACAGCTCGGAGCAGGAGTACTGGGAGATCTTTAACTCAGGTGAGTGTTACGGGGAGGTGGGTGTTACAGGGAGGTGAGTGTTACAGGGAGGTGAGTGTTACAGGGAGGTGAGTGTTACAGGGAGGTGAGTGTTGCAGGGAGGTGAGTGTTGCAGGGAGGTGGGTGTTGCAGGGAGGTGAGTGTTACAGGGAGGTGGGTGTTACAGGGAGGTGAGTGTTGCAGGGAGGTGAGTGTTGCAGGGAGGTGGGTGTTGCAGGGAGGTGAGTGTTACAGGGAGGTGTGTGTTACAGGGAGGTGAGTGTTGCAGGGAGGTGGGTGTTGCAGGGAGGTGGGTGTTGCAGGGAGGTGAGTGTTACAGGGAGGTGAGTGTTACAGGGAGGTGGGTGTTACAGGGAGGTGAGTGTTGCAGGGAGGTGAGTGTTGCAGGGAGGTGAGTGTTGCAGGGAGGTGAGTGTTACAGGGAGGTTGGTGTTACAGGGAGGTGAGTATTACAGGGAGGTGAGTGTTACAGGGAGGTGAGTATTACAGGGAGGTGAGTGTTGCAGGGAGGTGAGTGTTACAGGGAGGTGAGTGTTACAGGGAGGTGAGTGTTACAGGGAGGTGAGTGTTGCAGGGAGGTGAGTGTTGCAGGGAGGTGTGTGTTACAGGGAGGTGTGTGTTACAGGGAGGTGAGTGTTGCAGGGAGGTGAGTGTTGCAGGGAGGTGGGTGTTGCAGGGAGGTGAGTGTTACAGGGAGGTGGGTGTTACAGGGAGGTGAGTGTTGCAGGGAGGTGAGTGTTGCAGGGAGGTGGGTGTTGCAGGGAGGTGAGTGTTACAGGGAGGTGTGTGTTACAGGGAGGTGAGTGTTGCAGGGAGGTGGGTGTTGCAGGGAGGTGGGTGTTGCAGGGAGGTGAGTGTTACAGGGAGGTGAGTGTTACAGGGAGGTGGGTGTTACAGGGAGGTGAGTGTTGCAGGGAGGTGAGTGTTGCAGGGAGGTGACTGTTACGGGGAGGTGGGTGTTACAGGGAGGTGAGTGTTACAGGGAGGTGAGTGTTACAGGGAGGTGAGTGTTACAGGGAGGTGAGTGTTGCAGGGAGGTGAGTGTTGCAGGGAGGTGGGTGTTGCAGGGAGGTGAGTGTTACAGGGAGGTGGGTGTTACAGGGAGGTGAGTGTTGCAGGGAGGTGAGTGTTGCAGGGAGGTGGGTGTTGCAGGGAGGTGAGTGTTACAGGGAGGTGTGTGTTACAGGGAGGTGAGTGTTGCAGGGAGGTGGGTGTTGCAGGGAGGTGGGTGTTGCAGGGAGGTGAGTGTTACAGGGAGGTGAGTGTTACAGGGAGGTGGGTGTTACAGGGAGGTGAGTGTTGCAGGGAGGTGAGTGTTGCAGGGAGGTGAGTGTTGCAGGGAGGTGAGTGTTACAGGGAGGTTGGTGTTACAGGGAGGTGAGTATTACAGGGAGGTGAGTGTTACAGGGAGGTGAGTATTACAGGGAGGTGAGTGTTGCAGGGAGGTGAGTGTTACAGGGAGGTGAGTGTTACAGGGAGGTGAGTGTTACAGGGAGGTGAGTGTTGCAGGGAGGTGAGTGTTGCAGGGAGGTGTGTGTTACAGGGAGGTGTGTGTTACAGGGAGGTGAGTGTTGCAGGGAGGTGTGTGTTACAGGGAGGTGAGTGTTACAGGGAGGTGTGTGTTACAGGGAGGTGAGTGTTACAGGGAGGTGAGTGTTACAGGGAGGTGTGTGTTACAGGGAGGTGTGTGTTACAGGGATGTGAGTGTTACAGGGAGGTGTGTGTTGCAGGGAGGTGTCTGTTACAGGGAGGTGAGTGTTACAGGGAGGTGTGTGTTACAGGGAGGTGTGTGTTACAGGGAGGTGTGTGTTACAGGGATGTGAGGTGTGTGTTACAGGGAGGTGTGTGTTACAGGGATGTGAGTGTTACAGGGAGGTGAGTGTTACAGGGAGGTGGGTGTTACAGGGAGGTGTGTGTTACAGGGAGGTGTGTGTTACAGGGAGGTGAGTGTTGCAGGGAGGTGAGTGTTACAGGGAGGTGGGTGTTACAGGGAAGTGGGTGTTACAGGGAGGTGTGTGTTACAGGGAGGTGAGTGTTGCAGGGAGGTGGGTGTTGCAGGGAGGTGAGTGTTGCAGGGAGGTGAGTGTTACAGGGAGGTGTGTGTTACAGGGAGGTGAGTGTTCCAGGGAGGTGAGTGTTACAGGGAGGTGGGTGTTACAGGGAGGTGAGTGTTACAGGGAGGTGAGTGTTACAGGGAGGTGCGGTGTTACAGGGAGGTGTGTGTTACAGGGAGGTGAGTGTTGCAGGGAGGTGTGTGTTACAGGGAGGTGAGTGTTACAGCGAGGTGGGTGTTACAGGGAAGTTGCCACTGAAGCCCTGCCAAAAAGAAAAACCCGAGTTCTTAAATCAGTAGTATGTTGTTTTTTCTGGCATCCCATCATGTAACGGCATTTAGCTTTACCAAGAAAAAACATTTAAAGCGCTCCTGCTTTTATGAATTAAACGAAACTCTTTCTCTTAATCGAAAACATACGAAAAATCAACAATCAGCTTGAAGAAGTAGTATTTTGTTAATGTCCCCTGTGTTTCTACTCGTTGGCTGGTGAGATGTAGAGATGAAGATGTTGTCATGTAGAGAAACTATAGATGTGTTTCAATCGTCCTCTTGTCTCTTCCCAGATGCCCACCAGCCCATGAAGGAGGCCAGCGAGAGTCTCAGTGAAACAACTACAGTTCTCTTCACTATTGTCCCCAAGATCTCATAGACGAAGAACAGATAGAACAGATTTTACAAATATTTTAATAGTGAGCTATCAATAAGAAGAAATAACTTTGGCCATGAAAAAAGAAAACGTTCTCATCAGATGTATATTTTAAGTATGACCAGGTCACGAGGTTAAGTTTCTGTGAAAAATCCTCAGTCACAGCAGCATATTTCAGTAAACAAATGTAACTCTTGTATTAACATCAGAGAACTGATATCAGAACCGGATGTATTCCCGGTTATAACAAAACCTGGATTGTTCGTCTTGAAGTTTTAATCGGTGACACACGGCATATTTAAATACATTAGATGAGAAAAAGCTTCCTATCTAGGGCCTAATCTATCATGCTATTGCCGTTCTATCAAACTATTTCAGAAGTGCGCATTAACTAAATTAAAAGCCAGTAGTCAGCAACATTATAACAATGGATGGTATTTGAGAACGAGGTTTATAGCCGTGTATTACTGAGTAGGAAAAATGAATTTAGCTAACCTGATTCCCTGTTCCATAAAAGGATTTAACAACTACGGCTAGCAGAAGGGCGTTGGGGTAGCCAAGTGGTTAAAACGTTCGCTCGTCACGCTTAAGACCTGGGTTCGATTCCCCGCGTGGGTACAATGTGGTGCCCTCGGCCGTGATATTGCTGGAATGTTGCTCAAAGCGGCGTAAAACCATACTCACTCACGGTTGACACAGGAGTCGCAGCTCTTCAATTCTTTGGTGGAACGGGATTCAATGTGGGTTGTTTTTCCCCATCATTTTGAATTTTTAAACAAACTGTGTGTGCCTACCTCAATGTATAGTTTAGTTTGTGAACAACTCAGCTCACAGTATTAACTCATTCCAGGTCATGTAAGTCGTGGATCTGATTGAATCACTTCGACTGAAGTCACGTGCCACCTTGCCAAAACTATATTTGAGCTCTGGTATATGTCGTTATATTAACCCTTTACGTGCCAAGATATTGTCTACAACTGTACACCGTGAGGGGGCCTGGCGGCATCTTAAGACAGCTGCGTGGGGATATTATGCCATCGATTGATTTCTCTTGAAAGTTATCTCCCTTTGTTTAAGTCCAGGATCTCACCCTCCTGTCGTCATCATTTGAATGCTGGCAACTCAGCAAAATGTGTACTATTCTTTTATCCCAATAGATATAACGTGTCTGCAGTCCGAAAACTTTAAATCATCTACTCTGACTTTCAGCTAGGGATTCCTAATTTCAACGTATCTATAACGTTGCAGTCCGTCTCTCTTTGAGTTTTTAATGATGACTTGTAGGTCACGTGTTTTTTTCATGTCTCATTTTAATTTTTGTTGATTTTAATGCAGTAAAATGCCAATACTTATACTGATATTACGCAAACATGCCTACTAGTTCTAGTGATGTATCTCTGTTTTGTAATTATATATTATTCTTACTGTTATTCACCTGGGAATAAAAGATTGTTATCAACCGAGCTGTGCTTGTGTTTGTGTTGAAGGAAGTGGTGAAAGAATGTTGTTCGAGGGCGCAGTCAGCAAATTTCCAGCTACCCTCGGGGCAGCCTGTAGATGATCGACTTAGGCCTTAGGCTAGCGTTTGCAGCATTGGCTAAAAGCAATGGCAATCATTGTGTACAGTTTCTGAGATTTTATAAAACTTCTTTCACATAACGCATGCACTGGTCGTAACTGTTATGTGTTCATGTTTGTGTGTCGGTAACATTGTGCCGACTGTGTAAATAAGCCTTCAGGCCCGAACATAACACATCCTGGACATTGGGTATGTTTTAACAGCTAAAACACGTTTATACATTATAACCATTCGCCGAAATACAACCGCTTGTGTACACATGCGGCCCATAATGCCCTGAAAAGCACGTGCAGTACATTGACGCCCGAGAAGAGCGTGCCGGAGACAGAGGGCCACGACTTTCAGCTGCCCTGCGGAGCAACTTGTTATCAGGTTGTGCGCAACTTGTTTCAGATCGGGCACCTGCAACAGTCTTTCCAAGCGAGTGGGTCGCAACATATTGGTGTAAGTAATCGGAATTTAGGATCATCAATCAGTTTCTTTCTTAACAACCACACTATCGAAATATTTGCAAGTTTGACTTCAACTATAAACAATCACCAGTGTGCCCCGAAGTCCCCATTATGCTGGTTCAGGGGGTGCACGGGTGGCCCAGTCGTCTAAGGCGCCGCGATTCGCTATGCACAGTTTCGTCCCTTGGGCACGCCAGAAACCTATGATTGTGGGTTCGAATCCCGGTTCGCCCTGATTATGTTTCTAGGTTTGTCAGCACCATACTCGTGCTCGTTGGTTTCACCTAAGTGGTAAACGTCTGAGACCTGCATCACTTCGGGCTTTCCTCCCACATTAAGCTGACACGCCGTGATATAACTGGAATACTGTTAAAAGCGGCGTTAAACCCAACTCACTCGCTTACTATGCTGGTTCAGAGGAATAGTGGATTGAGTGGTCAGGCTCTGACTTTGTTGATTGGGTCTCGCTTTGCCCTAGGCTCCTGCCCCGTCATATAGCTGGAATATTAGCGTAAAACGACAAACAAAACACGTGACTAGGGTGATCATGCGTCCACTGTAACATGGTACATGTTTGTTTGTTTGTTTGTTGTTTAACGCCACACTCAGCAGTATTCCAGCTATATGACGGCGGTCTGTAAATAAGTCTGGACCAGACAATCCAGTGACTGGCTCGATTTACGCAATTAGGATATGATGACAAGCATCAACCAAGTCAGCGAGCCTGACCACCCGATCCCGTCTGTCACATATTACGACAAGCATTGTTACATCTTACGACAAACATGGGTTGCTGTAGACCTATTCTGACCCGGGTCCTCACGGGTGTGAATGATTGCCTAATCCCGGTGTTAGTGAAGCAATGTCTCAAACTTGATCTGAAATTTTGAAGCGGCGTAAAATCGTCCCCGCTTCTCAACTGTTGAATCTGGATACGTTACAGGTGATTAAAGATCGGCCGTCATCCAGGGATACCCTGTGCTCAAGGTAAGGCCATGTCTGTATCAGGTTTGTTTGTTGTTTTACGCCGCACTCGGCAATATTCCAGCTATATGATTATGACGGCGGTCTGTAAATAAGTTTGGACGATACAATCCAGTGAATGATATCATGAGCATCGATCCACACAATTATAATAGATGACATTCATCAACCAAGTCAGCGAGCCTGACCACCCGATCCAGTTAATCGCCCCTTACGACAAGCATAATCGTACACCGTACAAATTCTGTACGCCGCCGCCTTGTCTCAAACGCGTTTGTGAGTTGATTCAACACGCCCTGGAGTACCAGTAGGATCGAGTGTCTGACCTAACCATGTTGTTGTACACCTATGCAGTGGGGCGTTTATTATACTGTCGACCACTGGTTTGCCTGTGCAAGGTTTCGGATTATTGTCCATGAAGTACCTGACATATCGGTGACTGTTATATCAGCAATTCCCCAATAGAAGTAGTTGATGGCTACATCTTGTAACGCTGATATTAACCCGTGACGGAACCACAGTGAATTGTTACGCAAACAGTAACAGCAATATGTATGGTTACTTCAACTACGACATCGATAGTGACCATGGCCCCGTTCCTCAAAGCGATCTTAGAACTACGACAATCGTAAGCCAATGTTAAAGTTTGGGAGTTACGATCACCTGAGCGCTAAGTTGGCTTTGTAGAACGGGGTCCATATCTTGCAGCTGATTGTTGAGTAACAAGGCCCTGTGAAGGGAACGAGAACGGAAGTATGCACGTAAGGATGCTCTACATCTTTGTTTCAGGATGCTGCTGTTTTTGATGATGATCGTCTCGGTCGAGGTCAGTCAACGTATTTTACTTATGCGGCATGTTCGTCACTGTTCGGAAGAATGTCTTGTATCCGTGGGGCGATGTCTGTTGTATCCGTGGGGCGATGTCTGTTGTATCCGTGGGGCGATGTCTGTTGTATCCGTGGGGCGATGTCTGTTGTGTCCGTGGGGCGATGTCTGTTGTATCCGTGGGGCGATGTCTATTGTGTCCGTGGGGCGATGTCTGTTGTATCCGTGGGGCGATGTATGTTGTGTCCGTGGGGCAATGTCTGTTGTGTCCGTGGGGCAATGTCTGTTGTGTCCGTGGGGCAATGTCTGTTGTGTCCGTGGGGCGATGTCTGATGTCTGTTGTGTCCGTGGGGCGATGTCTGTTGTCTGTTGTGTCCGTGGGGCGATGTCTGTTGTGTCCGTGGGGCGATGTCTGATGTATGTTGTTGTAGCAGGGGTAGTTCATTATGAAAAATGACAAGCTGCGGTTGTGTTTGTTGAGGTGACATTTATTCCATTATCAATCACAATTGATCAATCAACCCTGTAATAAAATATATAACATTATATACTGTACATAGAATAGCATACGGCTGCATATTAATTATTTCCTAGTTTGAGCAGTCACATTAATCCATACATGCAACGCATACAGTTACACATCACTAGTTCGTTGTAGATAAATTATATTAAATACAATTTACCGAACTTTCAAATAGTAATACATATATTAAATGTCTCTTATCATAACTGAATATATCAGTTACACACCATATAGTTAGAAGAATACTAGTAGCCGTGTGGCGTCATAAATATACGCTTATTATCTTTTAAGAGTAGGAATATATATAAAATGCTACCATGTTGTGTTAAATTATAACACATAGTTAATACATATACATTCATTCATAAGTGAGTGATACGATAAAGGATTTATACATACCCTGTGGGTGACACCGGGGTGTGTCTATAAACCCACATCATATAGGATTATGGCATTCCTATAAAAAGTAAATAACATAACTATCATGCCTGAATAGATACATACATACATACATACATACATACATACATCATGACAACCATTTCCTTAAATTATAGAAAACCAACTTCTAATTCAATCCTTACATTCAAAACTCCCAATCAAATCATGCTCTCACACATATTTACATGTTAAACACTTTATACTGATAAAATAGAAGATATCTTGATTATTTGATATCATAGGTAAGTATTTACAATATTTACATTATTGATAACATATCTAAATGATAAGTTAGAATTCTATTTAGGAAAGATAATGTAAATAACTAACCTGAACTATATGTAGTCCATGTCCTGTCTGTGCAGAGTTATAAGCAGAGTGAATAAAAAGTGTGCAAATGTTAGGGAGGAAAGCTGTAGTTAGATAATGTTAATCAGCTAGGAAGCTGAAAGCTATTGTATTGACAAGCTAGAGAGCTTGTGACAAAGGGACAAGAATAGACTAACCTGTCCACCCTTCAATAAAATTGAACCAACCGCTTGGACTCTTAACCCAAGCATATACATTTTGCACTACAACTAATGAAGATGTATACAACTACTTGAAATGAAAAGAGCTAAAACTATATTCCTAAAAACTATATATACAATATCCTGTTACATTGTATCCGTGGGGCGATGTCTGTTGTGTCCGTGGAGCGATGTCTGTTGTGTCCGTGGGGCGATGTCTGTTGTCTGTTGTGTCCGTGGGGCGATGTCTGTTGTGTCCGTGGGGCGATGTCTGTTGTGTCCGTGGGGCAATGTCTGTTGTATCCGTGGGGCGATGTCTGTTGTATCCGTGGGGCGATGTCTGTTGTATCCGTGGGGCGATGTCTGTTGTATCCGTGGGGCGATGTCTGTTGTATGTTGTATCCGCGGGGCGATGTCTGTTGTGTCCTTGGGGCGATGTCTGTTGTATCCGTGGGGCAATGTCTGTTGTATCCGTGGGGCAATGTCTGTTGTGTCCGTGGGGCGATGTCTGTTGTGTCCGTGTAGCAATGTCTGTTGTGTCCGTGGGGCGATGTCTGTTGTGTCCGTGTGGTGGTGTTCTTGTTGTGGGGGGACCGCCTCCGTGGTCTTGTGGTAGAGCGTCCGCCCGGAGAGCGGAAGGTCCAGGGTTCGATCCCGGGCCGCGTCATACAAAAAGACGTTAAAAGATTGTACTTGTTGTTACCCTGTCTGGCGCTCGGCATTAAGGGGCTAAAACAAGGACTGGTCGGCTCGGAGTCAGTATACTGTGTCTGAGTGGGGTATTCATGTTAAACTGCGGCATGGTATCTCAGTGAGCTAGCACTATAAATCGGCATCAGTCCGGACTAGTACAAGCAGCCACACACACACATACACGTGCATGCACGTCGCTATATAAGTGCAATAATCTTGGACGCGACGTTAAACCCAATTTCACCTCACCTCACCTTGTTGTGGGGGGCACGGGTGGCCCAGTCGTCTAAGGCGCCGCGATTCGCTGTGCAGAGTTGCGTCCTTTGGGCACGCCAGAAATCTATGATTGTGGGTTCGAATCCCGGTTCGCCCCGATTGTGTTTCTAGGTTTGTCAGCACCATACTCGTGCTCGTGGGTTTCACCGAAGTGTTAAACGTCTGAGGCCTGCATCACTTCAGATTTTCCTCCCACATTAAGCTGACGCGCCGCGATATAACTGGAATACTGTTAAAAGCGGCGTTAAACCAAACTAATTACTCTATAATAGTACAGATGTAATATTGCGTCCATGGTGAAATGGTTCTGTTGTACGGATGTAGCATGGCGTCCCTTTAGGTGTAATATTGATGGCATTCGTCACCACTCGCCCCTTTCCGTAACCTGCAAGAAGACTCGTCCCCCTATCGATGAATGTTATGTGCGAAAATACGACAAACCAATCAGAATGCGCGTATGGTTTCAAGTTCTTCGTCAAAGAATCCCTCAGAAACAATTTATGATTTTAAATATGTCTTGCATCTAAAAATATACCCAAGACAGTTAAATGTGGTCAATCATACTGTATCAATCCGCATGTCCCGATGTGCTTTTAATTGCATCTGAAATATATATAATATATGGGGACATATATTTGAAACATTACGCAACGAGTTGACAATTGTTTTACGTTTGCGCTAAGACGGAACCCGGTCGCAAAAATGGCCACGAGAGGGGCACGAGTCGCTATTCGGCTTGTCCCGGAATAACACGAGTTGGTCACGAATGCTATTGATGGGTAACCACGGTTAACGTACGACATTGTTTCCCACAGGGCTTCCGGTACCACAAGGAGCTCGCGGGGCGATACGTCCTAGAGTGTGAGTACAACCATAGACGTCTCGCTATCTAGTAAATAGAACTAGACAACATGCCTGAACGAATATTAACTGCATGTCACTTTGTGTGGTTTGAATGTAATACAATGTTAAACAGTTGCGTCAATCCAGTACTCGCTCAGACGTCCTCGTGAATACCTTTGTTACAACTGGAGTGTTTTGTAGTCTGGCTACTGGGATTACAAGGGGAGGCAACTGTAATCAAGATGTAATCATGGATTTATCTAGACCTGCTCAGAGGCCAATATTCGGCTGGCGAAGTTCGCTGGCGATGTCAAACAAATTCCTAAATGGGAACACAATCGTCTTTTCATATAAGATATGGTTACGACAAATGTGGGGTGGTCGTGGTAAGTTGTTTGCTTGTTTAACGGCAATATTCCAGTATATGACGGTGGTCTGGAAATATTCGAATAACATTGTTCGTTTGTGCATGGAACAATCTAATAGCTCTTGAATATGACTAATTCTACATATATCAACCAACATGTTTGGTATTCGCGTTTCTTTTGGCGGTGAGTAAATATGTAAGGATTTAGTTAAACGTTTGTTTGTTTGTTTTCGCCGCACTCAGCAATATTCCAGCTACATGACGGCGGTCTGTAAATAATCGAAATCTGGACCAAACAGTCCAGTGATTGACCTCATGAGCATCGATCTACGCAATTGGGATACGATCACATGCATCAATCACGTCAGCGACCCTGACAACCTATCCCGTTATCGCCTTTTACGACAAGCATGGGCGCTTCTTGCGGCAAGCATGGGTTCCTGAAGACCTATTCTTTAGCCGTATCTCCACGGTTCTGAAGTACATTGTATTCCATTGATAGCAAGGACACAATGAAAAAACAATGTCACATTACAATGTCCTAATGCCTCTTGAATTAAGCATAAACCTTTCTTCCCAATTGGCCTGCCACGGGCTCTTCTTTTGGAAACCAAGATAAATCCATGGACATATTGTCAGGGGTTACTAAAACCTAACCTATTTTATTCGCATTGTTTATATTTTGTAAATTTTGTAAATTTCAGTGAAAGCAACGTGTCCATCCAAACCAGAAGGTGTCGTTGATGTGCACGTTCTGACCGACTTGAACCTGCGTGTGCGCGTCATCTGTAAGGACAATTTCACCACCCTCATTGAAAGCGACGACTCCGTCAACTTCCACTTCGAACCTCCCTTCAGAGGGAACTCCAGACAAGAGTGTGTTTTAAATGTAAGTTGTATTTCTTAAGTCGTTCATAGCTTTGTTGGGTAAATACTAGGTCCCACACTTATTATATACCCACCGCCAAAAGAAACGCGAATGATAGAAACAGAAGCACGTACATTAACAAGAGATGTTCCCCTTGTGTACCACCTAAAGGCAAAACTAACAATCAGGTGTTACCACAGTTTGTCTTTATTCTTATCACGTCATGAGCGTCGGCTCAAGCAACAGTATGTCAACTTGTGCTTCGAACCAATCTAGTATTTCTTGAATATGAGTAATTCTTCATATATTTACCAACAGGTATGGTATTCGCGTTTCTTTTGGCGGTTAGTAAACGTGTAAGGATTGAACTTAAGTGATGATCGGGGGACTACAATGTGTGTCATTGTGTCACCATGTCCGACCACGTTGAGTGTTGCTCCAGCCGTTCACTATTGGTCACGGGTGGCCCAGTCGTCTAAGGCGCCGCGATTCGCTGTGCAGAGTTGCGTCCCTTGGACACGCCGGAAACCTATAATTGTGGGTTCGAATCCCGGTTCGACCCGATTATGTTTCTAGGTTTGTCAGCACCATACTCGTGCTCGTGGGTTTCACCGAAGTGGTAAACGTCTAAGACCTGCATCACTTCGGGCTTTCCTCCCACATTAAGCTGACACGCCGCGATATAACTGGAATACTGTTAAAAGCGGCGTTAAACCCAACTCACTCACTCACTCACTCACTATTGGTCACTGAACCACGATGTATTGTGTACAGGCCAATGAGATGTGTGTTCAGCAGTCACTGGGTCACATGTTAAGTCTTCAATAACCGGGGCTTGTTAGAACAGAATAAGCGAGGATTGTTTCGTTTGTTGACGACGATCTGTAAATAATCGTTTCTGGACCAGACAATCCAATGATTGAAATGAGGATCGAGATACGTTGACAAATTCTAACCCGGATCTTCAAGGGAGAGGTCGCACTCATTCATTGGTAGTGCAGGGGAAAACCCACGTGACGCATGTCGTGCACCGTCACCACCCGGAGAGGATCCCGTCAAGATTCCGGGGTGGAATAGGTGTTCAGCAACCCATGCTTGTCGTAAAAGGCGACTAACAGGATCGGGTGGTCAGGCTCCTGACTTGGTTGATGCATGTCATCGATCCCAATTGCGTTGGCCGATGCTCATGATATTAATCACTGGATTGTCTGGTCCAGACTCGATTATTTACAGACCGCCGTCATATAGCTGGAATATTGCTGAGTGCGGCGTTAAACAACAAACCAAACCAAAACCAAAACCCGGAGAGGACTTAGTCTGGTGCCCTTGTACTGACACCCTCCAGTATCCAATGTATCGTATTGCATAAACTGCCAAATATACCAATTCACCATAAGCTTCATTTGAGCTGACGCCTCAACCTCCTACCTCATGGGTAGCTTAAGCCACATTGTATGGCTGCATGTGTAATTGGTGAGGAACACACGTTAGATTACGGAAGTGATTAGAATTAGTTTGAATTAACATTCAAAAAGTAGTAGCCCCTTCTGGCGGCACGGGCGACCGAGTCGTCCAATTCGCTGAGCAGAAATCCCCAGAATTCCGGTTCGCTCCGATTGTTTTTTACTGGTAAGCCAGGATAAGTTGACGAGTGACCTGACAGACCGCCTCCGTGGTCTAGAGGTAGTGTCCGCCCGGAGAGCGGAAGGTCCGGGGTTCATCTCCCTTCCGCGTCATACCAAAAGACGTTAACAAAATGGTACTTGTTGTTACCCTGTCTGGCGCTCGGCATTAAGGGGCTAAAACAAGGACTGGTAGGCTCGGAATCGGTATACTGTGTCTGAGTGGGGCATTCATGTTTAACTGCGGCATCGCATCTCATTGGGCTAGCACTATGAATCGGCATCGGTCCGGACCAGTACAAGCAGCCAAACACGTGCATGCACGTCGCTATGCAAGTGCAATAATCTTGGAAGCGACGTTAAACCCCATTTCACCTTACCTCACCTGACAGTTAATCAACCCCGTATGACTATGTATGATGTCCGCCCACTGGCGGTACTATTGTGAACGAGTAGTACGATGGATATGTGCGTGTCCTGTCTCGATTTACGAGTTCTATTGGCGATTTCAATGGCAGATGACACTACATGCTGATGTGAGGTACTCCATGATCGTGACAATGGAGACGGCAAATTTGCATAGATAACAATTGAAAAGTATCGTGAAAGTCAAGGGAATTCCTTTGCTGTAAAAATGGAATACTTGTTTCCCCAGTCCGCCATAATGAATTGTTATGTCATTCATCAATGATTGTGAAGCTTTGACATTTTTATTCATTTGTGATTAACTTCTATCAAATGATTTTTAGAAATTCTGGTATTTGTCACAACGACACCTTTATAGCACCATAAGCAACACATGTCCACGTGACCTGCACGTGCACACAACATACGTGTACGTACACCCGCTCCACCTGTAACAGATCAGTGACGATCCGAGGTAGACTAGGTCTTAAGCAATCTTTGCTTGCCGTAAAAGGCCACTATTCTTGTAAGAGGCGACCAACGGGATCGGGGGTCAGGCTCGCGGACTTGGTTGATGCTTGTCATTGTATCCCATTTGCGAAAATCGATGCTCATGTCAATCAATGGATTGTCTGGTCAAGACCCTATTATTTACAGGCCGCCGTCATACAGCTGGAATATTGCTGACTGAATATTCACCAGTGAATGCTGAAACACAATTGTAGGGCGATAGAACCGTGCAGATCCGGGGTAGAGTAGGTCTTCAGCAACCTATGCTTGCCGTAAGAGGCGACTAACGGGATCTGGTGGTCAGGCTCGCTGACTTGGTTGATGAATGTCATCGATCCCAAATGCGTGGATCGATGCTCGTGATATCAATCACTGGATTGTCTGGTCCAGACTCGATTATTTACATACCACCGTCATACAGCTGGAATATTTGTGAGTGCGGCGTAAAACAACAAAAGAACGAACGATATAATCCCATCCCCATTATCCATTACATATACAATTTAATACTGGCTTCCAATCACCCGTCCATGTAAGTCACTGTAGTGTTTTACCCAGTTATAATCCTATTTAGCTAAATACGAGCTGTACATATTTGGGATTGCATATGCACACATATACATGGCATATCTTTGTTAGTGGATACTTTGTATACAGTCTTAAACTCACGGTATACCTTTTCGTATACGACCCGTGAAGATCCGGGGTAGAATAGGTCTCCAGCAACCAATGCTTGCCGTAAAAGGCGACTAACGGGATCGGGTGGTAAGGCCCGCTGACTTGGTTGATGAATGTCATCGATCCCAAATGCGCGGATCGATGCTCATGATGTCGATTATGTACAGACCGCCGTCATATAGCTGGAATATTGCTGAGTGCGGCGTTAAAAAACAAAACAATATTCATCTTAATCTGAACTTCAATCAGGCTTTATGCTTGAACCTTATGTGTAATCTATCATCCTTCAACCTTGTATAAGCATCAATTACCCACCTGTATATAACGTCCCTACTTATGTATATCACTGGCTTGAAAACGTGTTGGTGCCAACACTAAAGCTCTGCATGTATTGTAATAAAGACGTTGCACATCCATGGAAATAATACCCTTGTTCCATCTTCAGAAAATGGCGGGCTCGAAGACGTACACGTTCCGTCTGGATGCAGAATATGGAGAACCAGAGTCAGAGATTCGGCCATTTGTAGAGCCGTACATAGTCACGTGTACCTACGATCCCCACAGTACAGACAAATCAAACAAACAAGGTATTGGACACAGGTACGTACAGGACTACGAATGTATCTCGGCCTGTCCACCTGTCATTTAACCCGTGAAGATACGGGTTTGAATAGGTCTTCAGCAACCCATGCTTGCCGTAAAAGGCGACTATGCTTGTGGAAAGAGGCGACAGACGTGATCGGGTGGTCAGAATCGGTGACGTGCTTGATGCATGTCGTATCCCATTTGCGTGGATCGATGCTCATGACGCATCCCAATTGCGTGGATCGATGCTCATGACGCATCCCAATTGCGTGGATCGATGCTCATGTCGTATCCCAATTGCGTGGATCGATGCATATGACGCATCCCAATTTCGTGGATCGGTGCTCATGACGCATCCCAATTGCGTGGATCGATGCTCATGACGCATCCCATTTGCGTGGATCGATGCTCATGACGCATCCCAATTGCGTGGATCGATGCTCATGACGCAAATACTGGATTGTCTGGTCAGGACTCAATTCAGGACTCGATTATTTACAGACCGCCGTCATATAGCTGGGATATTGCTGAGTGCGGCGTTAAACAACAAACGAACAAACTGCCTTTTAATGTCCTATTTTAACAAAAACAAATTACATATGAATAAATAATGATATAATCTTTAAGGCGGGTCAATGCTTTTTGTCTTCAATTACTGTTGAAAACAAGACTTTGTTGGCACAAATGTGAACAAAATGTTGGTCGCCATGCCCTTGTAAAAATCTGGAATTGATGAAACATTTAATTTTGTGTGGCCTTTGCTCTAGTAAGTTTAGGAAAGGTAGTGGTGACGAAGCAAAATGTACCACCTTCGACTTGGACATACCTGACAATGCCACGTGACCTGCTTACCATGGCGTCGGTGTGTTTGTTTTGTTTGTATGTTGTTTAACGCCGCACACAGCAATATTCCAGCTATATGACGGCGGTCTGTAAATAATCGAGTCTGGACATGACAATCCAGTGATTTACGTCATGGGCATCGATCCATGCTATTGGGATATGATGACATGCATCAACCATTCAGCGAGCCTAACCAGCCGATCCCGTTAGCTGCCTCACGACAAGCATAGACGCCTTTTACGGCAAGCATGAGTTGCTGAACACCTATTCTACCCCGGAATCTTCACAGTTCGCGTGCAGTGTGGCGGAAGACAACAATCCACCGTGATGCAACTCCAATGGTGTGATGCAACTCCAATGGTGTGAAGCGTCACCCAGACGTATTGCCTGTTTCAGTTTGATCGCACCCAAAGAGATTCAAGCCAACGCGGGTAAGCGGGGGGCCTCTCACCTGAAGCTGTTGGTCGTGGACGTGATGGACAAGGCGACCCCCAGGAAGCTGAAACGCGGTCTCCTTGTCAGTCTCGCGGCAAGTTCTGATGGTCAGTCCGGGCTAGGTGCTTTATCACTATCACCTGTCATGGGGCACAGTAGGATGTTGTTTGTTCATATTGTAGTAAATATACAGTGAGAAAGGATGGGTAAATCAAGAAGAATAAATATTTTTTTAACTCGGTTTTGACAAATATATCTCAGATAAGCATGCAAATGTAATTTCAGTGGAATTGGAGGAAACCTGTCCTTTTTGCAGCCACTAAGTAAGAAAAGGAAATGCACAATAAGTTATGTTTAGAAATAACGAAACATCAAAAGTCACACTTCAGAATGTTTGATACATATTCAAAGTTTCATAATAAAATATTAAATGGTTTCCGAGTTATGCATACGAAAGTAAACGTGACGGACGGAAACGCCCATTCTCATATCCCCCTCCACTTTGCGGTGAGCGGGGGTAGGAAAATACTGGAAAGTAATGTCTGGCTTTACAAAAGTGTTCAGAAACATCAGACAATAGTTATCATTAATAAATCTAAGTATACAACCCCTGACAGCCCAAAATCATGTATGTTGTTGGCCCACAAAATAGTTCCACACGTTTGACTGGAAAAGTCAAGTTTCCACCCTTGCCGAATTTGGCTGGAATTTCTGGGCTCGATCGTAGCGCAACAAGTGGTTATTGAGTCACGTCCCTTCTTTTGACAAACCAGATTCAACCTCTCTTGTCACTTGCTTTTCCTCAAATAATATGGCGTCGTCCAGTGAAGACGATCCGATCGATAATCAAGATCTATATTATAATATAACGGGTCTTACTTCGGGTAGTGCATCAAATCGCGGTTTTGATTGGACTATGCATAGACTCGTCAGTCAAGCCAAAATATATCTCCATAATTCCAGCCTAGTTCAACAACGGTGGAAACTTGATTTTTTTTTTTATAGTCAGTCGACCCTTGCCTCGGGAAGATGACGATAAGCTGGTTTTCTGGCATGGGGAGTTTTGCATCACGGTTGCTGTTGTCTTGCAGGAGATGAACAGTCATTTTCTGTGTCTTCTGTGCGATTTCCGTGAGATAATGTTTCAGTTCTCTAACCGGACACAGGTGTCAGGTTGATCCACGATCTTGTGCAGCAGTCTGAATGAGGGAAGGATTTCGATTGCGTGAATCCCTTGTGAAAGCGGCCTTCTAAGATGTCTACAGTAGAGTTACTTGTGGCAAAGGCTCATTTGGTGCTTCCGTCAAGGCCGACAAGACGATGGATAAGTGTTAGATGCCCCCTTGTAAAAACGATTTTATCAGACGATTGAGTACTGGGTGACTTCTATGGACAACAGATCATGCTGCAGTACTGAGGCTTAGGCTGGTCTGAAACGTGTTGTCCTGTGGAGTAAGAAGTCCGCCAACATAGGTATAGTCACATACATGTGTCTGAATCTTCCGCGCTTGTTCCATCTATTGTCATAAAGGGCGGATGGAGGTCTGCAAGATGGTGCCTCCCCTTCTGAAGCAGACGTGAAGAAGCCAGAAGCCTGCATCCTCGCCGTGATAGTTTTTTCAAGCGTGCATGTGAATGTGAAGAATGTTGCGTCCATGCCAGAATACCATTGGTTTGTCCAGCCGAGACTATTATTGACAGGCCACCTTGGCTGGAATATTTCCGACAGTGGTTTTTATCAACTCGTTACTAATGTCGAATGTTGCTTGCAGGAACTGGGGGTGAAATGGGACTGCGGGCGACTGCATGTGACGCTGTGGGGAATAATGGCGTACACTACGCCGTGCTGAGGGCTGGGTAAGTAGTGGGTCTGCCGAGGTCACTAGGGTATCAGGTCATCGTGACGACTTAATGAAGCGGGTACATGGGTGCCCAGTCCTCTAAGGCGCCGCAGTTCGGTGTGCCGAGTTATGAAAAATATGATTGTGGGTTGAAATCCCGATTCCGCCCTCATTATTCCTATGTTTGCCAGCACCATGCCCGTGCGCGTGGGTTCATTGGAATACTGTTCAAAGTGGCGTTAATCCCAACTCGCTCACACTGTTACGTAATGATATAATTGAAATACTGCTGAATTTATTCACTGTTTCGTGGATACAATGTGCGAAGCCCATTTCTGGTGTCCCCCGCCGTGATATTGCTGGAATATTGCTAAAAGCTCCCTCACTTTGCTTCGATTGAACAAAATGTTCACAGCCATGCCTGTAGGTTGGGACATAACGAGATGACATTGCTCTGTTTGCAGTTGTGGGGATGGTATCGTATTCAAACGGACAGATGGTTTCAGGACTGACGGTTTAAATGTCTATAGTCCCCATTTTCGAATCTTCACTCTGAAAAACAGCGTCTCTTTGAGATTCAAATGCAACTATACGTTTTGCTCAACACCATGCGATGGGGTAGGTAGCTATGTCAAGGGAGACAACCCATATGTATTGAACCAAACGCAATCTTATTACAATCATACCTTAGTTCTCGCTACCGCTATACAAAGATCTGAGGACATCGGTGAACTTTGGCCGACCAATGAAAAAACTAACAAGAATCGACATTAACCAATGACAAATCATTTTTCTCGGGCTTAACGGCACTAGTTTCAAACTGGCGACTTCCATTCCATACCGCGCTTTGAAAGATGGTTTGACAAAGTTCTTAGTCAACATCTGAAAACTGAACAAGAAAATTCTGTAATGTCTAGTATATGGCCGAGATTGTGTGGTTCCCACGGGCAATGGAAAGTCCCTCCAGTGGAGCGTGAGATTGACGTACAGCCTGTAACTGTCGCTCGAAGTACCCCGTGATTAGAAAACACATTCCGACTGTCACTTTCCCGATCTGGTAAGCGACGTTCCGATAGGTCGGATGAAAGGTCGTTCTGACGTCATCCGTAATGGGATGTCCTCACAACTTGGTTTAGTGGTAGCGACCCCTAAGATCTGATTTGAATGCGATTGTAGTAAGCGTTTTCTTTCAAAGGTTTAAAATGAATGTCTGAATTACGTAATTTTCTCAATGTTAGTAAATTGAAAAGAATTAGTAATAAGGTTCACGGGGTCCCATCCTCATCCTCTTTCAACTAACATCGGAACATATAAACTACTTTCGAATTATTTAAATAATCGTGTGTATCCTTGTCAAGTGAATCCGTAATTGGCGGTTTGCGAGAAAACCTTGTTTAATAGACTGCCTTGTTCTTTCAGAGTTCGTGTATCGACCAAGCGGCGCGGACCAAACGTTCCGCCCATAGCCCGTGTGAGTAGTCCATCTACACGCGATATGAGCACACTATTTCCCTGGAACTGGTGTTTTGAAATGGATCAGGTAGGGGTTAATCAGCCAAACGGTGGGAGTAGTTTCTCATCACGCTGACTTTCCGGGTTCAATTCCCTGCAAGGTACAAGTTGTACGTGCACGTACTGTTACAAGGTGCGCCGCACTCCACCCCTGTGAGGATATGAGGATAGATTAGGTCGCCAAGAAACGCTCCCCTTGCCTTACTGGTTTATATTGTCCCGACTCCATTATGTAGAGTGTGTTCGTTTGTTGTTTAACGCCGCACTGAGCAATATTCCAGCTATATGAAGGTGGTCTGTAAATAATCGAGTATGGACCAAACAATCCAGTGATTGACATCATGATCATCGATCCACGCTATTGGAATACGATGACATGCATCAACCAAGTCAGCGAGCCTCACAACCCGATCCCGTTAATCGCATCTTACAAGCATAGTCGCCATTTACCGCAAGCATGGGTTGCTGAAGACTTCTACCCCGGATCTTCACGGGTCAATCGGCCTCCAATTGCGTTTCCGCATTCACTGGTGACGGGCCTGCCTTTCTGGGACAAGCCAAATAAAGCCATCTTGTTTCTCAAGGATTGGTGTGTTGATGAAGGTCACACGTTTGAAACTAATATGTTTGTATAGACAATAGTGAAATCTAGTTATAAAACCTCGCGTCTGACGATTTCTGTTGGAAGCGTCTGTATTTCATTAAAGGGACATGACTCGACCTTGGTTTGTTAATCCAACAGGGTTTCAATGTTTTCGTGTTTCAGATAGCGTGACCGCAGTGTCCGATTCGCTGGATTTGCAGAATGTAGATGACAGCAATGGAAGTGAGGACGGGGTCCGAGACTATGCTGTCCGAGACGATGCGGTCCGAGACGATGCGGATGTCAACTACCACTCTCTTAGAAATACTGGTATAATCTATTTATCAAACATATGGTCCCGTGGGGATAGAAAGCTCACCAGCACTCCTTTTCTTGTGAGCACGGCCTCACAACTGTTCAAGTTCACGAAATAGTCGATGCTTATGAATGTTACTGTTAAATTTGCATGTCACAGGGTGGATGCGAGGAAATGTTAATTTGAAACCTCCGGCTTTTGGCGTCGGTTTCAAATGAAATTGCCTGGTTTGAAAAGCTGAATAAAACGCGCATATCGGAACACACGTTTCGTAAGTAGCCATTCTGTAAAGCCATATTCAATGACGATATTTTTTTCAGTTATATTAAATTAAATGTGTGGTTTACTTTGAGTACACAGGGTTGACTTGTTTGCAGGAGTTTCTCACAGCACAGCATCAGACGCTCCCTGGTGGCAAACCCCGGTAGTTATTCTGACGATGGCGATCTTTCTCACCATGCTGATGGGCGGAAGTGCCCTGATGGTGCACAGGCGCAGAATGACTTCCGCATCGCTGGCGTGAGCGGCGTGAAACATCTGACAGTGACGGGGTTCAGAATCTACTGAATAAACTGTTCGCCGTGTCTTTTTACCTCTTTGTTGATTGCTTTTTTCTTCTTGTGAACAGACTAACTACAAGAACACCCTGATGTTACAACACCACAACCGTTAACATGGCGGTGGAAGAACTTGAGGTGGTTTGTGTTACAAGTTGGCAATATTAAGTCCAACAAGATGTAATTATAAAACGTCCTGTTACTATGGTAACTCGTCTTGGAGTGCGGTTCATTGTCACCTACCGTCATACTTTAAGAAGGAAACGCATTCGACCACGTTTGTGAAAAGGCCTATAAAAACGAAAAGTCCCGCCAAAGGTAGTGATGGGCTGTATCCCGACTTTGTGTATGTATTCATTGGTGTGTTGATTGTTTAACGCCGCAATATGCAGGTCAGGACCACACAGTCCGGGATCATGAGCGTCGCTCGACGCAGTTGGGATACGATAACATGCATCGACCAATTTAGCGAACCTGATCCATTTAATCTTCTCTTACAAGCGTAGGTAGGGTGGCCTAGTGGTTAAAGCGTTCGCACGTCACGCCGAAGACCCGGGTTCGATTCCCGACATGGGTACAATGTGTGAAGCCCATTTCTGACCTATAAATAGGTCACGCCGAGCAACGGACTACTGTTCCTGACTGTTTGATAAATAATTGGAATATTGCGCTGAACGATGTCACCGCCTTCTTGTTTTGTAAAGTTTTTTTGTGGTTAATCATAATATAAGTAGTATGAAGATATTATTTGTAACCGGCTCACTCGGCGCGTTATTTAAGAACTGACGTCAATATGTTACGTTTACGGCGGTTAATACGGAGATGGATTTATAGTGTGAACATGGTTTTTATTTGTCTACCTGCATAATCTGCGACACTTGTGGGTTACAACGCATCAGGCTCTGACATACCTAGGGGGGGCGGTCGGGTAGCCTAGTGGTTAAAGCGTTTGCTCGTCACGCCGAAGAGCCGAGTTCTATTCCCGACGTGTACAATGTGTGAAGCCCATTTCTGGTGTCCCCCGCCGTGGTATTGCTGGAATATTGCTAAAAGCGGCGTAAAACCACTCTCACTCACTCTGACATACCTAAAATAATGTCACATGCGGCATAAGACCCAAGGTCACTCACTCCAACTTTAGATTTTTCTTTTCAAGAATTGACTTGAATATTTTTGGCGTTTATGAAGGTATTAAAAAGTAATGTAACACACATTCACCAAACTAGGCAACCATACGAAATAAATGACATCGTTCAGCGCAATAAGGCTCGACAAACCCCGCCCATTCTATCCGCCAATAGGGAAACGGTTTTCGCAAGGTCCGACGTTCAGTTAGTCCCTCACTCTATGAAGGTTCATACTCAAAGTAACTCTCACAAAGTCAATTTTTAAATAATGCTCTGATATGTTTGTTTATTTGTTTGTCGTTTAACGCAGTACTCGGCAATATTCCAGATATATTATGGCGGTCTGTACCCGACAGTTCAGTGATTGACATCATAAGCATCGATCCACGCAATTTAATTGGGATACGATGACATGCGTCAACCAAGTCAGCGAGCCTGACCACCCGATCCCGTTTGTGACCTCTTACGACATACATAGTCGCCTTTTACGGTAAGCATGGGTTGCTGAAGACCTATTCTACCCCGGATCGTCACGGGTCTCGGATATTTGTTAAAGTATCTCGAAAGTAGATTTGGCTCCAAACTGAATATTGCTCACCAATTCTTATAAACATGTCCGTATTTGCGCCCATTTATACCTTCTGTCAAACTACCCCTGACAAAGTCGTGCAAGAACTCGGCCGAAGTTCATTATAGGAACGAAGCTTTCTACTCGCTCTGTACACCACCAATAGTTTATGCATGTCTTCCATTCTGTGGCGATAACGGAGGCCTTCACTACACATATACGAGATATGGTTCCGTCAAACAACCGCCCATCTTTCACTGTCACAGGTACAAGGCCCCTCTACTCCACTGACGCTCAGCACTGAACGGGTCCCATTATCCAGGCAATAGCGGCCATCAAAGCAGGTCCCATTCGACAACGCGACTTCAGCGAAAGGTCACCTCCAATACAAGCGACGTGCAAATAAAGCGATAACCCTCCCTTAGAAAGTTTCATATCAAGTAGAGCCCTATTTGTTCGTTGTGTTGACATCAATTTATATCTGAACCCCTTTCCGTGGCAAATCGCCAACTTCAAAAGCAGACCCACATACTCACGGCTTCGATCTGGTAGTACCCAACGACCGACCAATCTACAAACAAACAAGGCCGCTCGCGATCTTGACGTGCGCGCAAACATAACCATACTTGTGCAGTTTTTGGTCACTTGAAGTCAAAGCAGAGACCTGTTCCTGTGTTGTAAGTACATATTACTAGTTATACCTCGTAATAATAAGATTTACTGTTTAAGGAGCCATCAAGACCCCTCTCCATGTCTGTATTGATACGTCTGACCCCATCCGGGGAAGGATATGGCAGAAGTGAATGGGTTTCTCCAGAGACACTCAGTTTGTTGTTCAGCCTTCCCGATTCCACCAGGAGCTATACGCCCTGCTGGCAACCTGAGCACATTTTAAAGAGACAATATGGTTGTATTTCACTACCTCAAAGGGCCCTGAACGTGTCATTTGTCGCGGTATTCAACTAACTATTGATATGTCAATAATCGGTCGTGACTTATAGAATTCCGAAGCAATACTTGTATTTTTAGTTGGTATGGTGTGTAGACCTTGCCTTCAGTCACGTTTGTAACACCTTGTATTGTACACGTGTTCGCCTGGTGTCTTGCAAAAGTGATTGAGTAGGATTTTACGCATTTAGCATTTTTTCTAGAAATATGACGAGCGGCACCTAAGAATGGCTTCATAAATTGCATCTCAATTTTATCTCAATTGCGCAAATCGATGCTCATGTCAACTACTGGATTGTCTGGTCCAGACTCGATTATTTACAGACCGCCGTCATACAGCTAGAATATTGCTGAGTGCGGCCTAAAACAACAAACAGTCAAACAATCAAATCAAATCATAGCCTGAAAGTGGAGCTTTCAAGCACTTCCTGGTGTTGCATTGTAGGGCATTCAGATGAGCAAGGAAACAAAACACAGGTTTCAGTTCAAAGACTTAATACGGAGGACAATGTATGTCCTGATGCTGTCCTGACTGACGTAAAGCATTCCTTCCAGCTCAAAGTCGGTATTTCAAATCAATAAGTTTCCTTGATTAATGCATTGTGGGTATTATTGATTAAATCATTTACTTCTGTCGGTCTTCCCGTCTGTCCGTGAGGGCTTCCGCTGAGATATTCAGTTAGGCACGGCTAGCGTACTGCGGGTATGTTATGGATATATTACGGGAATATTGCTGGTATATTATGGATATATTTCGGGTATATTGAGGGAATATTTGGGTATACTGCGGGTATATTATGGATATATTGTGGCTACATTGAGGGAATATTGCGGGCATATTATGGATATATTGTGGGTACATTGTGGATATATTGAGGGAATATTGCTGGTATATCATGGATATATTTCGGGTATATTGCGGGCATATTATGGATATATTGTGGATATATTGGGGGAATATTGCTGGAATATTATGGATATATTTCGGGTATATTGAGGGAATATTTGGGTATACTGCGGGTATATTATGGATATATTGTGGCTATATTGAGGGAATATTGCGGGCATATTATGGATATATTGCGGGTATATTGTGGATATATTGAGGGAATATTGCGGGTATATTAAAGATATATTGAAGGTACGTTATGCGAACATTGCGGGTATATTATGGATATATTGCGGGTATTTTGGGGGAATATTGCGGGTATACTTTGGATATATTGCGGGTATATTATGGATATATTGAGGGAATATTGTGGGTATGTTATGTATATATTGCGGGTATATTGAGGGAATATTGCGGGTATATTGTGGATGTATTGCGGGTATATTGAGGGAATGTTGCGGCCGATATTATGGATATATATGGGTTTATTGCGGAAATATTTGGGTATTATGCCGGTATCATGGATATGTTGCGGGTATATTGCGGGAATGTTGCGGGCGTATTATGGGCCTATTGTGGGTGTGTGACAGGTGTAGAAAATACCACATACCATGTTACTGTTGTCCAAACATAATTCAAACGTGTTTTGACCTTGCTATAAAAGCTTACAAAGCTCAAACAACCCGTTCAAATCACTCGCAGTTGTCAAAAACAGTGATATATAAATATATATCCTGGACCACCTTACACGACTGCTACAGTCTTCAGTCGGCTGATATCGTGTAATCATTGATTTTATTTTTTAGTGGCTACATGTTCAGAGCTCGAGTGTTTTGAACCTTCCCACCTGGGTGTTAGTCTACAGGTGCACGTACAGGTAAACGTACAGGTAAACGTACAGGTAAACGTAGGTCACGAACCCGCCTCTCACCAAGGCGACAAATTCGAAAATCAAGTAAAAGAATTAACCCATCTCGTATAACTGCAACAGCTTAACTTAGAGTATAAATATTGGACTGTTGAGTACATTCTAACGTGAGTGGACGTCCGTTTGAACTTTGTATTTCATAAATATGTAAGAGTGAATGGGAATTGTTTTACGCCGCTTTCAGCGATATTCCAGCAATATCACGGGGGAGACACCGAAATGATGTTTTATTGAGGGCAAGTTGTCAACAAGCACCTAAATGACTAAACAACATTTTATGCCCGCGTTTATGTTACTGAGACGGGCACCATAATCTTAGCAGCAATCTTTGGCGACAAAACCCTTTCCATATTCTTAAGACATCTCTGCTACAGGTAGAGTCCATTGTACGATTCCGAGGACATCATGAGCATGTTTATGAATAGTGATGATACCAGGTGTTCGCGAAAAGGTGAGCGTATCTTGCCCCATTGGTGGCACTCGTCATAAACACATGAAAAGCCAAGTTAATTGTTGACCTGAAAAAACAGGAACATATGGTTCACTATTGGAATTACATCGGACAGCATTTTAATCTCTGATGAGTAAAAATTAGAAATGTCACATAAAACATTTTGAAAGTTTTACTGAGACCTTGAAAGTTGTAGCCCTGATCATATGACTTTCTTTGAAATCTTCGTTGAAAAAGCAAACTCGATTTTACCTTAAACGTTGTGAAATGTAGACACCAAAGACTGTGTGTGTATGTGTGTGTAAGTGTGTGTATGTGTGTCTCTGTATGTGTCTCTCTCTGTGTGTCTGCGTGTGTCTGCGTGTGGGTCTGTCTGTGTGTGTGTGATTGTGTGTATGTTGTGTGTGTGATTGTGTGTATGTTGTGTGTGTCTAAGTGTCTGTGTGTTTGTCTGTCTGTGCGTGTGTGTATGTGTGTTATCTGTGTTTGTTTGTGTGTGTGTGTCAGTGTGTGTATGTTGCGTGTCTACATGTCTGTCTGTCTGTGTCTGCGTATTTGTCTCTGTGTATGCGTGTGTGTGTGTATGTTTGTATGTTTGTGTTTTGTTGTTTTGTGTGTGCGTGCGTGTACATGTATGTGTGCATGTGTGTGTACATTGCAATATCGTAACTTGAGCCCTGTCGAAATTCCACCCTTGCTTTCAAAATATGCAAATATATCAACTAGTGTGTGTGTTTCTGTGTGAGCGAAGACCAGAGTGACGATTTGATTGTGATTCATCCCGATTTATGAGCTTGTAAAACAGACGTCTCGGTGTTCCCAGGCTGCTGGTGAGTGTTCAGTCAGAGATAGGCCACGCAGAGCGTTGCCACAACACCCGGACAGCTAGGTCGGCCTCGTCAATCAGCATGGTGTGTGTCCACCAGTGATGAGTTACCACACAGAACCACACTGTTTGTTTGTTTGTTGTTGCACGCCGCACTCAGCAATATCTCAGCTAAATGACGGCGGTCTGTAAAACATCGAGTCTGGACCAGACAATCCGATGATTGACATCATGAGTATCGATCCACGCAATAGGAATACGACGACATGCATCAACCAAGTCACCGAGCTTGACCACCCGATCCCGTTAGTCGCCTCTTACGACAAGCATGGGTTGCTGAACACCAGTTCTACACCTGATCTGATAACGGTGGTGCACGGGATATAACAGTGTAATGACTGAGGGTGGGTAGCCTACCGGGTGTAGCGCTGCTCGTCTCGACTTAGACCAGGGTTCGATTTGAATCCTACATTGTCACGATGACCCTAGTTCTGTCAGCAGCACCAACCACGCTCCTGCATCTCACCAACCAGTTCCTTGACCTGGGTCAGGTTTGGAGTTCCCATACCGGTACCGTGGTATAATTGACTTACAAGCGGTAGTAACCCAAACACTCTATCGCACAATAGTAAATAGTACAAAATCGTTTTACGTTCAGTGTATTATAACACAACCTTTCATATAAGCATATAACTTTTGCGTATCTTCGTTAGTTCAACAATATACTGAACTGTACAAAAACACGTTCCTTGTCCCATAATTTTGACATGTTTGGGTCTACACTTGTTTAGGATTATGCTCAACGCTTTGGTCTAAACAAGTTAAGATTGATTGATAATAATACATATTAATATGCATTTTGTCGTAAACATGTTTAAATTCTAAACATTATTTAAACACTAAATATGTTTAAGTTCTGAATATATTAAGTATGTGTGACGGTGAGACGATAGCTCATTTCATGTGTTTAGATCTTAAATATGTTTAGATAGAAAACACCATACGTGTATTCCGTTAAGGACTTCAACACATTCCTAAACATGTTTCGATTAAACATTGTCTTGTATATGTTTACAGTGCACAAAGGTCGCTTAAAGGCAGTGACATTGCTCGTTAATTCTGTTGCAGAGAGGTGAGAGCAGTATGGCCTACTTTGACGCCGTCTACCCCCAGGTCCACTACACGCAGCTTCCGACCAGAGCCGCGCCGGTAAGTACTGTACGACGACGTCGGGGACGATGCTGTTCGCGACACCATCTCAGATACCAGTTTGTCAAAACATCCTTTGGTAAAGGGTTCAAAGCATTCTATTAGAATAGACTCTACTAACCGAAGGCATATTTGGGAACGAGTTTTGTGTCACTGTGTCACATGCGACCTACTTGATTCCACTCACACTGTATCCCCTACTTCTACCACAGATTGTGTCCCTTTCCTGAGACAGGATCCGCTGATCTTGGATCGAATCACACCCGTATTACGATGCTTGTGTTGTCTTCGTCCTACCCGTGCGCACGGTTTTCCAAGTAGTAAACGGTCAGCTTCACTTAAGGCTGTTTTTTCCCACGTCAAGCTGGCACGCTGTGATCCTATATGCCAGAAGTACTGTTCCAAGTGGCGTTAAGCTCATACATACACTACTGTCTAACAGTACTAAATAAACCCAACATTCAATAGGCCAGATTGTTATACTGATTAATAGAGTCATTAACAATTCAAATCTGCGAATGAGTATGGTTTAGAAATAGTCAAGAGATGGCTTCACCCATTGTTACCATGTGGGGAATCGAACCCGTGCCCTTGGCCTGACGAGTGGACGCTTTCACCACGAAGCTACCCCACCACCCCTGTGTCAAATGGTGAGAGGGACCTACAACTTCAATCCAAACCTCACAGATATATATGGACATCGTGCAATACGTTATAAGGAAATTATTACAGGAAGGACAGAATAGGCGAGTTGAATAGTACTGGTCAGTGGAGTTGAATAGTACTGGTCAGTGGAGTTGAATAGTACTGGTCAGTTGAGTTGAATAGTACTGGTCAGTGGTGTTGAATAGTACTGGTCAGTGGAGTTGAATAGTACTGGTCAGTTGAGTTGAATAATACTGGACAGTGGTGTTGAATAGTACTTGTCAGTGGTGTTGAAAAATACTGGTCAGTGGAGTTAAATAATACTGGTCAGTGGTGTTGAATAGTACTGGTCAGTGGTGTTGAATAGTACTGGTCAGTTGAGTTGAATAATACTGGACAGTGGTGTTGAATAGTACTTGTCAGTGGTGTTGAATAATACTGGTCAGTGGAGTTAAATAATACTGGTCAGTGGTGTTGAATAATACTGGTCAGTGGTGTTGAATAGTCTGGTCAGTGGAGTTGAATAGTACTGGTCAGTGGTGTTAAATGATACTGGTCTGTGGTGTTGAATAGTACTGGTCAGTGGTGTTGAATAGTACTGGTCAGTGGAGTTGAATAGTACTGGTCAGTGGTGTTAAATAATACTGGTCAGTGGTGTTGAATAGTACTGGTCAGTGGAGTTGAATAGTACTGGTCAGTGGTGTTAAATGATACTGGTCTGTGGTGTTGAATAGTACTGGTCAGTGGTGTTGAATAGTACTGGTCAGTGGAGTTGAATAATACTGGTCAGTGGTGTTAAATAATACTGGTCAGTGGAGTTGAATAGTACTGGTCAGTGGTGTTGAATAGTACTGGTCAGTGGAGTTGAAAAGTACTGGTCAGTGGAGTTGAAAAGTACTGGTCAGTGGTGTTGAATAGTACTGGTCAGTGGTGTTGAATAATACTGGTCTGTGGAGTTGAATAATACTGGTCAGTGAGTGAGTGAGTTGGGTTTAACGCCGCTTTTAACATTATTCCAGTTATATCACGGCGTGTCAGCTTAATGTGGGAGGAAAGCCCGAAGTGATGCAGGTCTCAGACGTTTACCACTTCGGTGAAACCCACGAGCACGGGTATGGTGCTGACACCCCTAGAAACATAATTGGGGCGAACCGGGATTCGAATCCACAATCATAGGTTTCTGGCATGCCAAAGGGACGCAACTCTGCACAGCGAATCGCGGCGCCTTAGACGACTGGGCCACCCGTGCCCCCAATATTGGTCAGTGGAGTTGAATAATACTGGTCAGTGAAGTTGAATAATACTGGTCAGAGGTGTTGAATAGTACTGGTCAGTGGTGTTGAATAGTACTGGTCAGTGGTATTGAATAAATACTGGTCAGTGGTGTTGAATAATACTGGTCAATGGAGTTGAATAATACTGGTCAGTAGAGTTGAATAGTACTGGTCAGTGGTATTAAATAATACTGGTCAGTGGTGTTGAATAATACTGGTCTGTGGAGTTGAATAGTACTGGTCAGTGGTGTTGAATAATACTGGTCAATGGAGTTGAATAATACTGGTCAGTAGAGTCGAATAGTACTGGTCAGTGGTGTTAAATAATACTGGTCAGTGGAGTAGAATAGTACTGGTCAGTGGTGTTGAATAATACTAGTCAATGGAGTTGAATAATACTGGTCAGTAGAGTTGAATAGTACTGGTCAGTGGTGTTAAATAATACTGGTCAGTGGAGTTGAATAGTACTGGTCAGTGGTGTTGAATAATACTGGTCTGTGGAGTTGAATAATACTGGTCAGTAGAGTTGAATAGTACTGGTCAGTGGTGTTGAATAATACTGGTCAGTGGAGTTGAATAGTACTGGTCAGTGGTGTTGAATAGTACTGGTCAGTGTAAAGTTTAGTTGCCGTGGAACAGCAGACAAGCAGGTCTCCGAACGCCTTCCACTATATCGGAATCAGTGTTTATCATACCACTTGAGTGTGTACTACTTCGACCCAGTCAATAATGAGCGTGCGCTTCGAGACCAAACAAATCAACACTGCTAACAGAAATCCACCCTTGAAGACACAAGCTCACAGTCACTTGTTCTGTAATGAGACTCCGTGTGCCGCTAGTAATCTGGGACGCCACTCTTTCTTAGAGTTTATGAACTTCTGCGTCTGACTTAGCCGTTAATGCAATCAATACAACTCCGCCATTATTCGTTACTTTCAATAGCCAGGTTTCACCCAAGTCAATCATTTTTGTTGTATGAATGCAGATCAGGAACGATAACTCTACCTAAACGTGTCACGTGGTGCCAATGCATTGAATGTATTGAGTCTTGTTATATGTTAAGGGAGAAATCTTTGTCAGTTTGTTGACAATTTAAGTACGCTCTTAAGTGAGCCCAGTTAGCCGGTGATATCGGTGGTCGCTATGGCGACGGCTGTAACGGAGGGACCGTTCAGTGAATAGTAATCTCTACGCTGTGAGCTTTTCGAGTGAGATCGGAATCGTATTCGGATTTTGACATGGCGTTCTGTAATGGATTTACTCCCACGGACCGGCTTAGGAAGTTAGAAGCGCAGGAGAAGGAGGGGGGCAGCAAATCAAATACCCCTGTAAGTGGAGTTTCAAATTGTCAGATTTAATCAATGTTAAGGTGTTAACGTTTGTGGAGAGTCCAGTGTTTGAATGAGGAAAGTTAATGTCGAGGTTTGTGTTCCTCGCTGTCGTCGTTTTGTCCTTCAATGACAACTCCACTCTTTTTTTTAAAATACTTCTTCAAACACGGTAAATGTAGATGTAGTGATTGTTGGATGTGGTGGTGTTTTATGTTTAAAGGGAGACCATGCATGTTCCATGTGCAGGCGTTGCCTGCATTTATATTTTAATCCATCTGTGAAACATGGCATTGTTTCTGTAAGGTTCACGGGGCGGTGGGTAGCCTAGTGGTTAAAGCGTTCGCTCGTCACGCCGAAGGCCGGGTTCGATTCCCTACATGGGTATAATGTGTGAAGCCTATTCCAGATGTCCCCCGCCGTAATGTCGCTGGAATATTGCTAAAAACGGCGTAAAATCATAATCACCTAATCAATGTAAAGGTTCCGACCGATACAGGTACTGACACATGGAGATAAACACGGTGGGTTTAGAACAACTTGAACCAAACGTACAAGGGCTGGCCGTCTGCTGGAGCCTAGTGTCTCTGTCTATATCCTGTGATGAATACGTCCCTATTGACATCACCGCGTGCCCTGTCGTGGTACACTCCTCGTGCCCAGCATGGCATGTGATCGGGGGACGTCTCATTCCTACACCATGTGTAATTTGTCTCTAATGTACCTGTCAAGTCATACATTTGCCACCATTAAATACACCGACCTCCCTTACATTGCCTACGTATGACGAGGTGACCCAAATACCGTCAGTGACCTCATTATGTCACACAAATACCGTCAGTGACTTCATGATATCACACAAATACCGTCAGTGACCTCACGATGTCACCCAAGTACCGTCAGTGGCCTTATGAGGTCACACAAATACCGTCAGTGACCTCATAATGTCACACAAATACCGTCAGTGACCTCATGAGATCACACAAATACCGTCAGTGACCTCACGATGTCACCCAACTACCGTCAGTGACCTCATAATGAAACACAAATACCGTCAGTGACCTTATAATGTCACACAAATACCGTCAATGACCATGAGATCACACAAATACCGTCAGTGACCTCATAATGAAACACAAATACCGTCAATGACCATGAGATCACACAAATACCGTCAGTGACCTCATAATGTCACACAAATACCGTCAATGACCATGAGATTACACAAATACCGTCAGTGACCTCACGATGTCACCCAAATACCGTCAGTGACCTCATAATGTCACACAAATACCGTCAATGACCATGAGATCACACAAATACCGTCAGTGACCCCACGATGTCACCCAAATACCGTCAGTGACCTCATGATGACACACAAATACCGTCAGTGACCTCATAATGTCACACAAATACCGTCAGTGACCCCATGAGATCACACAAATACCGTCAGTGATCTCATGAGATCACACAAATACCGTCAGTGACTTCATGAGGTCACACAAATACCGTCAGTGACCTCATAAGATCACACAAATACCGTTAGTGACCTCACGATGTCACCCAAATACCGTCAGTGACCTCATGATGTCACACAAATACCGTCAGTAATCTCATGTCACACAAATACCGTCAGTGACCTCATAATGAAACACAAATACCGTCAGTGACCTCATAATGAAACACAAATACCGTCAGTGACTTCATGAGATCACACAAATACCGTCAGTGACCTCATAATGAAACACAAACA